ATGAAAAAATCAAAAACACATTAATCAATTATGTATGTGTCACCACCTCTCATAATATCATACTAATCAATGACTCTTTTTACTAGGTTTGGTCTGCTGTTGCCTAGGTCCAGGCAGAAATTGTAGCCAAAGCTTGTCTCATGATCAATGGTGCTTACCATATTCCTGGTGATATGATGCCAGCTCAGATCAAGGAAGTCGTAATGTGGCTTTTAGAGACTAGTGCATTTGCTGATGGTGATCTTGACATCAAGGTGAACTATTGTTCTCCCATATTAACATCAATCTTAACCATTTTCAAGGCCAGGATATTTAACAAGCAGAAACTTTTTTCTCATCAGATTTTCAACTTGAAGGACTTAATTCATAATCAGTGGTATGGGCATAATGGTGAGGGTGTGCACTACCCTGAACATTTTAAAGGCATCCCTTTTGTTACAACCTAGAGTTTGTATACTCTGACGCACAACTCAGACAAAGCTATAAAGAAGTGAGGGGAGTGGTTACCCTTTAGATAGGACCGAGTTTGTTGTGGGTAAACAATAGGAGGACTCGCTGAGGAGTCTCCTTGATCTATTGGGGTTTATATACATCTACAAACTATTTGTACATGTGTACTATACAGTTGATGAAGGCAGTGGCTAATGATGTCATAGGGCACAGCCCGTGTGACCAACTCCACTGCATGAGAGACTTGTAGCTAAGAATAAAGTAGTGCAGCATGAGAAAGTGGAGTTTGAATAAAAATAGAAAGTGCCACATGGCACAGTGTGTGAAAACTACAGAAGAAAGTTAAAGTGGAGAATGAAATTTAAAGGTCCGAAAATTGTGTATCGTAACAGTAGCTGTAGGAAAGACAATGGATGAAGGATAAATGTACCCAAATGAATGGGACAGTGATGTATAAGGGCAATGTTGATGATGAGAATTGTAGTTAGAAAACCACACACAAAACAAACTAACACACAATCCTCCCAGATTCCACGGAACTTGTGTATGGGCTTTGCCTCCTAGAACAGTGGAGTGGTCTGGTTGTTTGTGGGGTGGTATGTATGACAATCATTCAAAGTAAAACCCAGAGATGTATGGGTGTGGGTTTTAAGAAGGAGGGATAGTTGAATTATAGAAGATAGAGGCTTTATGACGAGAATAGACAAGCACTGCCTTGCTAACCGTAGTACAAGGTAGGTTTAAGAACAGCAAGGTGACAGGGTGACGGGGTTCCCAGTGATAGCAGGCTCCTGACGCACAGACCGTAGTGCTCAGCAGGACTCTAATCAAAATGGATGATAATGATTTCAAAAGTGGAGTGACGATGACAGCAGATAACAGTGGTAGCAGTGGGAAGTATTATGATCAGACTAGATCACAAGTAGCAATAAGAAGTGAACTTGAATTTAGAGAAGAAGTCTGGATTGGAGTTCTTTATTGTTTTTTTACAAGGTAGAATACAGGGGTTTATATAGTAAAAGAAAGGAAGGCTATGCATAGTATAGCTGTGCAAAAAGAATGAGAAAGAACATGAAGGAAGGAATGTACGCTGACGAATCCTGCATAGGTAGTACAGGATAAGATCATCAAAATAAGGAAAAGGAAGAGATAGAACAATGAATGCTGTGTAAGTAATGTTACAGGTTTGTACAGCCATAAAAATAAAGTCCAATAACAGAAAGAGAGCAAGAAAATTGTGATGTCATAAGAAGATGCAGTAAATAGAGAAGCAAAAAAATATCAGTATCAATACAGTTCCTTTATTGTCAGTCAGGCATTCTAAAAAAATATGTGTCCATAAAAATGATTCAAAAATCAAAAATAATTGCACTGTAAATGAATGTTCTGCTGAAAAAAAGAAACTGGAGCCACTGGTCCACCACCTAGTCCAAATCCGACGATTCCATGACCTTACTAATGGACTGGTTGTACTGGACCACCTGGTCAAACAAGGGAGGGAGGGGAGTAGTTCCAATTTGGAACAAGTGAGTCCCAGGTAGTGTGTGGTAGCTGTAGCTGTAGCAAAGACGATGGACGAAAGATAAGTGTACCCAAGTGAATAGGACGGCAATGTACATGGGCAACGCAAGGGGATGAACCTTCTCCAGCTCAAAAACTACCCACTGTGAGGCAACAATAAACTATAACAAAAACGAAACCTGTCTCCTTCTGCACTTGCAGGGAGTAAGGGGTTCAATGAGCTTGAGGTTGACAGACGCTAGTAAATATAGCGGGTAGAGGACTTTGAGAGGTAACCTTCAAAGGTTTTCGTTGAGGAGTAAAGCGGGTAAATTCAGTAATAGAAAACTAAGGAGCCATACATGAATAGGTAAGGCTTTATATAGTGAACTGTTCGTTCCTCAGACCGAAAGGAGAATATACGAAAAGTGGTCTGAGGAATCAATTGGCCAATAAGAAAAGAGAGAACAACTATTGTACAACTTTTAGCTTGATTAATCAGCGGTGAGAGATTTGTACTAATAATAGAGGTTTGTTACTCGTGTTCAGGAACCGTATCCTCATGATGAGGTACGATCCTGAACAAAGCGTTTATTAGTGTATCCAGGCTTTACTGGGGCTTGAAGCTGGTTGGCGAGATGCCTATTACCAGTCCCTACCCAGTGTGCTGGCTGGCTGGGAGCGATACCCAGTCTCTGATCTGTGATATAAAATGGTAGTGATGGTTAAGAAAGCCTGTGAGGGCTATGAGAAGTAAAATGGCAAATGATACCTCTAGCCCTAGAGCCAGAGGTGTAATGGGAAAAGTGTTCGAGAACCAAGACATAGCGAAGATAAGAAAATAATAAAATGGTCCTTACACCCACCCACGCTCCAACCAGGCAAGACAAGCAACCGATGTTTTGATGGTATATGATGGAAGATTAACATCATGAAGATGGACCTTTTGCCCAATTTGGACCGGCTGCCGGGGCTTTGCTGATATCAGCAGTGGCACGTGGTGGTTGACAGATTGGCAATGGAAGCGGATAGAAAGTGGTGACATCAGATATGGTGGGGGAGCAAAGAAGATGAGCAGGAGGAGGGTGGAGGTGACCAGGAGGTGAACTAAAATGGGGATCCAGAAGCGACCGTCAGGTGAGAATAAGAAAGAGAGTAATGGTCCCATGGTGGGGCTGAGTAAAGAAAAAAAGTAAGGGAGAGCGATGAAAGCGAGGGCACAATGTGTAGCCAGTGGCGACGCAGAAATTTGCCAAAATGCAGAAAGTACCAAATGGAAAAACAAAGGTGAGCGCGACTGGATTGCCTAATAAAGGTGGTGCTGATCAGCCACAAGTTCAAAAAAGGCAATATTGATTACTATTCCACGTGGCTCCGTGCCTGTGTGGCGCAAAGGCGAGTCTTTTTGAATATTTGCTTCATTTTTGACACCTGTCCATGCTACCAATCAACTTTGGTGCATGACAGCGATGCAAGAGGATAGACCTTTTCCAGCTCAGAAACTACCCACCCGCGTTCCAGCCAGGCGAGACGAGCGACCAATGATTTGAGAGTATATGATGGAAGATTGACATCATGAAGATGGACCAGCCGCCAGGGCTTTGCTGAAATTAACATTGGCACGTGGTGGTCAACGGATTGGCAATGGATGTTGGCATATTATTTACTTTACAGTTCTAGTCATCACATCAATGGAAGTAAATGGAGAGCAGTGATATCAGGTGTGATGGAGGGGCAAGGAAGACGAGTAGGAGGAGCGAAGAGATGACAAGAAAGTAGATTAAGATGGAAATCCAGAAACAGCCATCTGGTGAGAATAGAAAAGACAGTAAAGGGCCCATAGTGGGGCTAAGTAAGGTAAGAAGGGTAAGGGGGAATAACAAAAGTGAGGGCACAATGTGTAGCCAGTGGCAATGCAAAAATTTGCGAAAATGCTGAAACGCAGAAAGTACTGAATGGAAAGCAAAGGTGGGTGCGGCTTGATTGCCTAATAGAGGTGGATGCTGATCAGCCACAAGTTCAAAAAAGGCAATATTACGATTCCACGTGGTACTGTGCCTGTGTGGCGCAAAGGCAAGTCTTTTGAATATTCACTCCGTTATTGACACCTGTCCATGCTACTAATCAACTTTGGTGCATGACAACGAACACAGAAAAAATTTAAACACCTACAAACGGAACAGAAACTGCCAACAAGACAACAGTGGAAGTACACCTCGCTTTTGTTGATGGGTTGAGAACTGAAGGTTTCTTAAAAGCATTGGACCGTGCCAAGAAGCAGAAAGACATCTTCAATAACACAGCAAGCATAACCGACTTTTGTCACACCCAAAATCAATGAAAAAGTCTGAAAGTAGTTAAAATGTTTAATTGCATTTTGGACCTACAAAACTTTATCAGAATAATGTATTTTGTTAACATATTTCTACATATCCACATAAAAATATAGTATTAATGGAAATGTCAACAAAAAGACACCGTTTTGTAGGTCCAAAATGCAATCAAATATTTTAACTACTTTCAGACTTTTCCATCAGTCATGAGTGTGACAAAAGTTGGTTATGCTTGCTGTATAAGAAAGTGCGACCAGTAACCTTCAAGATTGGAGATTTAGTGCAAATGTTTATAGGCAAAGAAGACACTCACGAAGTAGCAAGAAAGTTAATGATGCAATGGTCAGGGCCAATGCGTGTGGTACATAAATGGGAAAATTTGTATGGAGTAAAGAGGTTAGAGCAAGAAGAAGAAGAAATGGCAATAAGAGTGCATGCAAGAAGGTTACGACAATTCTTTCCAAATCAACAAACAACATTGAAACTTCAGGGGAGAACAGGAAACGAAGAAAGTGCAGAAAGAGCAGGAGAAAAATGATGAATAGTAGAGTCATCACATGAGGGTGTGCTCTCTTACAGGGGGCGTGCTTGGAGTAAGCCTGGAAGGGAATCAAGCCAAGTATAGTTACAAACTCCGGAGTCGGAGATGGAATACGATCTCTCTGCGGACGGGCTTACTATATAAGGATATATAGTAATGAAGCGACAGCTCAGCGGTTGTGGCTTGCTTTTTCACCTTTATCATGGTCACTGGTATTAAGTAGCAGAGTGCTATCTCCTACAATGAACATTTAACGGACAGTTCCATCCATATTCTCTATTCCGGTACTGGGAATGCGGATACAGCTGTCTCGAGGATCGGCATATGGAAGAGATGTCGTTTATCCAAGCTTGTGCTAGCCAGCGCCTACCTCTTCAGTAATTCTATTGAATACTGTACCATTATGGAATGATTTCTTTGTAGGTCGTGCACCGGATTATGCCGTATGCCGTTTGCCTCATTGTCCGCAACCCTTTACAGTCATGGCGATACTAGCCTGAGCCTGCATGTCCTCACGGCCTTAAGGCTCAAGTTCATTTCCCTTTCCCTCCCACCCCCAGTCTACGAACAATGTCTCATCCTCTTATCTGGCCAGGAAAATATTTTTTCTATGCTATAGGGAATACCAGCGCTGTACGCTTGTCGAGGGACCTTCCTCCTGAAGAGCCAGGGAATCTCTTATTATTGGGTTGTGGCGACCCACGAAACGTCTTGTTCACCATTTTCTGCGAGCCTCCCAGCTGTGAGTGGCCACATCAATATCGATATTCATTATGATAACACTGGTATGATTGTAGTTGGCCGGAAGCTTGACTTCACCTGTTGTGACATTGATCCAGCTATACTGGGTACGCCACACTTGAATTCACACCGCCTTTACACAATCCTACCTCACACACAGACTACTCCTTCTAGCTCGCAATGTGTTGCTATTTACAATGGTAGCAGACAAGCATCCGAACTCCACCATTTGGAATATATTCTTCCACTTTTGTATCGACAAGGATACACACTCCACATTGATTGAGCATTGCAATAAATTAATCGGGCTCTCTGACACGCTGAAGAACTGGAACTCTTCCATTTATGGCCCACACATCAAAATGTGTACAGATTATACCCTGGCAGAAATCCGGCGCCATTGGTCGCTCTATGTAGAAATGGAGAATTTACCAAACGCGCGGATTAAAGTTATCCGTGACGCCTTCACAAATCAGTACAAAACCACAAAGATCGGCACTGCTCTGAGCTCAGCACGCTCCGCAGGTCCTCTTTTAATCAAGGCGGCAAATGCTATGTCCGATCAGTTCAGGAACTATTGGAAGACCGGAACTACTTTTACGAACAGCAAAGAACTTGCTGCTGCTACTTTACTCAACCCCACCTTTGTCTATTCTCTAGCCGGGGAGCGTTTCTCCGTCCACTATGGAACTGACCCAATGACACCCTTCCACCTCGCTGCCTTGTTCGGTAATACGAGAGGATCGACATCTGTTGCTGACGTCGTCAAGGCTGCTAAAGCTGAGTTCAACGATTGGTGCTCTGCTTACTCTGTATCACTTTCTTCCTCTTCTCGCCCTATCATCCGCTTCATCGTAGGGGACGTCAATCTTGTATGCCGTGCGCTTCGAGGTTTTGCTCTCACAGGAACCCTTAAAACGGGCTTACCAGTTGCGCAGTGGAAAACGCAATTGATCCACCTTAGTGGAGACGAATATCTATCTGGTGGTGCGCCTGCTTCATTCAATGTCATCGACACCTCGAATCTAGATGATCATGTCGGACTTCTCAACGTCTTGGTCGCTTCAATTCCACTTTTGTCCCCTTCTCCGTCTAGCGTACTCTACGCCGAGTCTTTGTTGTTCCATAGACTGGATGGGACAAAGGAGTTTGCAGAGCATTTATATGCCGATTTGACTGCTGTCGGTCTCTTACTTGGCTTGTGTCCAGTTGACTATCTGTCTGGCTTCACTACACGATCCAACACTCATGAAATGATTGTGTATCAGCAGCTCACTAAAGAGAAGCAGAATGTGCCGCAATACCATCAAGTAACGACGTGGAAGGCACCTGTTTCTGGAGATACCATTGCGTCCCCATACATTACAAATATTCAACCTCCTGTCTTTGATTCACGTCAGCTTGGAACACTTCTCTACGATATATATCACGAGTTATTTGAGCAGGAGGACGCTATGCACTTTTGGAGACTTAACCAAGGTAACCTGTTAAACGCCGTCAGAAGCTCGAACATCGTTCATTACATTCGCGAGAGTTTTGTGCTTTTGCTTCGTCTTGTCAGAGATAGGCTTGCTGTCTCTGAGGAAACGTGGATGGAAATCATGGATCGATTTTTCGATCTAGAGGATGCAGACCAGACACTTCGAATGGATACACTCAATTATCAAGACTTGTGCGGGCTGCTGTACCGTCACGGCGTTTTCACTTTCCCTATCTATCGTATGAAACTGGCTAAACTGGGCAGACTATCACACTGGGAAACTGTTACTCCCATTGCAAGAATTGTTCTTGTCATTCCCCGTGAAAATCTAGCAGTCCTCGAACATTCGACAGAAGAAATAGGCACACCACCACTACAGGCTGATGTTACAGGCAGTTGGTGCCAAAACACATTTACTGCAATACATGTGGCATTTGGGAGGGCAATCTCGATGGGCACAAAAGCAAACCCGAGAGTTGTATTCGAGGAGGATACCAAGGGTTGGTCTGGAACGTCATCTCTTGTGGTATCATTTACAATGCCCACGAGGCTCCTTACGGATATCGAGCCTCCAGAAAACCTCAATGTGTGCCTCACAATTAGGAGTACGCCTGCTACAGTAATCCTAATGAGCAAGCTTGGTATGAAGCTTACCATTTTCAGCGCGAAACTTATGGACGAGTCTCTAGTCCATGTTTTGCCTGAGTATCCATTACCCTCCAAAAAGCCCCAGGCTTCACCATCACCCCCTGCTCCTGCTATAAAAGGCCTTCTCTCTCAAATAGGAGAACTAAGTGCCGCAGTCGTCGAGCTGGATGAACAGTGCGAGCTAGTTGCTTCTTTGACCTGTAGAGTCTCCGTCAGCGATATAGAATCAAAGCGACTATTCCAGTCCGGGGCTGCTCCTCAGGTAGCACAGGTATCTCCTTGTGTAATGAGAATAACTCTTGGCAGTCGCGAGCAGGACGTTATTTTTCCTTTCCCTGTATCGGGAAGTGCCAATAAGCTTCGCCTTGCTAGAAAGTCTTTATATATTGAGGTAGGTCTTTACAACCTTCACATGATATTTTTGAACGTACGCTGAAATGTGGAGTGGATGTGGATAGGTTGTGGTCCCTGCTTCCCGGACACTGAAACCTGACGGTATGAAGATCAATCCGTTCCCCGTGATTGATGCAGGAGGCATCTTCAATTCTTGGAGTATCCATCGCATCAATTTGCCTCGCTTGCCAGTCCTTGATATAAAAGGACCAAAGATCGGCCAGTGGCTCAACCCTCACGTTGGTTCCATGCTGTCGTCCCGTGAACGGTCAAATAGGAAAAAGCACAGGAGTGATGCTCTTATGTTCGTGAAGGATACTCTGCATACCATCTTTGTTCGATATGCAGGTATCCAGGGTGGACCCCCACGGCGACTTTTTGCCCTGCGAGATGAGGCGACGAATAACTGCGACACTATATTTTTTATCAGTGAATTGAGATATGACCTAGCATCTCATACAGTTATCTGCGATGGATACGTTCTCCCGCTTACTCACGAGCTCTTGATCAAAATTGAGAAGCCCTTTGCGAAACTTGTTTTCGAGGGAAATATGGGAAATGTTCGTGTCTTCGAGGGGGAGATGCAAACCTGGAAGCAACTCATACCTGCTTTTGTTGAGAGGTGCAGATCGTGGTCGCACGGGGAGAACTGTGAGTACAAGGCTCAGGGCAAAATCCCGCTTACGGAGGATATGGAGAAGAACCCTCTATGCAGTTGTGGAAGGGGAAAGGATGTCGAGGGCATGAATAAGGTGAACATGTGGAAACCGCTAGCTCCATATGTGACCAGGATCGCGTTGTCCCCGCTGTTCGCGGTTTCTTACCTGGAGACGGTGGGCCGTGATCCAGCCGCGTATAGATGCTTCGTGTGCAGAGGAAAAGGCAAACCCAAGTTGAAAATGTGCACGGTGTGCAAGAAGGTGCGGTATTGTTCTTCAGGATGTCAGAAGAAAGACTGGAAGATCCACAAACTCCGCTGTAAAGCCTGATAACGTTTTGGAATTCCCTTTCTGTGACCCCTGAATGTCTCCTAGTGTATTCATGTATTCAGCGACTTGTTGTAAAGTGAATCTGTGATGTTAACGTTACCATCAGTCTTTCGAGGCTCATTTTCACCCCATGAGTTCTGCTATCAATGGGAAACCGTGTCCCAAAGGACTGCAGATTTATTTGACCTTCAGCTTCCACAACCATAATAGCAGGTGAATAAAGATAGACTCGGATACATTGAACAGTCACGATACCACGGTACTATCTTTGGATGGAACAGGGAATTTCTAAGGCTAAGTTGAGGCATTAAAGTTAGTCCAGAAGGAAGTATGACACGAGAAATGCAACGCAGCAGAATACGTTTGCAGAATGAAGATGTGGAGGTTGATTCAATGATGAGCGTGAGAGATGATGAATGAAATGTCCTTCGAGCAAATGATTGGTATGTGGTGGAGCAAGAATGTGGAGATGGGGGACGGTGGTACGGTGACCGCTTGAGGGAAATACACGGTGTCAAAGCCTCAGACTCAGGTCGGTGACCTGCAAGCACAACCGTGACCGCCAAAGAGGTTGGCAAAGCGAGGGTTGCACTTCAACCTGGTGTGGCCTCGACACGAGGATATCTTGCTTCTGACCACCCACTCGGTCTGGAGGCCGCTCTTATTTTGCTGGCACACCTCTGAGTATTTTGGTGCCGCCCACGATGGCCACCTATATGTATTGCTCGTCCTTGACAGCTTTGCGTGTATTAACCGCATTCTTCTGCAGCTTCCTCTCGTGGTGTTTGGCTTGTTCAGTGACACGTCTCGCACACGACTCAGTCCTTTCCATCGTACCACGAGACCGCAAGCTCTTCCCTCTACTACTCCGACTCTTTAAGCTGTTCCCCTTCTCCTTCGAACCCGAAAATCCTTGTGTCGCGATTAGCCCCAAGCGCTGAATCTCGATTTTTGTCTCGCTGATCTCCATTTCCAGTCTGTGGATTTCTTGAACGAGAGTGCTTTCGGACATGTATATCAGAGAAGCGTCGAAATGAGGCGCTACGGTGGACGGAGACGATCGCGAGGAGGAGAGGACCTGAGAGACCGAGAGACCTAGGGCACACGATCGCAACGAAGAGCGAGTGCGGAACGCAACCGGATTCTCCTCTGGGGGCAAGGCATGCTGGGTTTCTTGGACCCAGGACCTTATGGCCGAGTCTCTGGATGTGATATTACTGGTGCTGATGCGGGCGTTGGCAGCGATTTTGGTGTCGACAGCCTTTTCGCCATGGATCCCATGTTCATCTATGCGCGAGCCAGTAGGACCGTCAGGCTTGCTCCTTTGAGAACCACTCATTTTTTCTGAAACATACCAGGCTATAGTGCACTAGTACAAACGAAATTGTGGTTACGGCGAGTCGCGTTATTTTGGATTGTTTGCGTTAATGGGCGTCGTGCTTTCAGTACGGCCAATCCAATGCCGCAGCTTTCGTCAATTGCAAGTAGCAACTTGGAACGTTCAAACTGACACTATCTTTGATCTAGTTCGTTATCGTTTTCACTGTGGGGTGGGTCCTCTCAAATGCAAACCAATGATGAAATAGATTGTCCACATCACCCCAAAACCCTATTTGAAGTACTGCCAGGGACTAGTACTGCCCACTTTGACGGGTTCATGTCAAGTCATTCTCTCCAACGCCATTTCTCTGGAGGAATTCCATATCCACCTCCGCAACAGACTCGACAGTCATCAGCGCAACAAATCTCAAGCTTATCCGACGCCATCCTGCAGAAATTCGAACCTCTTTTCAGTTCACTGCAACAACACACGACCGACCAGGTACAAACCTTACAAGCAGAAGTACTAAGCCTGTCGCAGACCGTGCAAGTCGCGACTGACAAATGTCAATCAGATACTCAAGAAGCTGTCAAATCATTTGAACGGTTACATGAACTTCATATGGCGGAGGTCAGGGAGACACGGGATCGCATTATTCATCTCGAAGAAGTGGTGGGAAATGTTGCAAAAAGCCTAGACCTGACGACAATCATGGAAAGACTGTTCTCGATTGAACATACTGTCGAAGGTCTTGCCCAAGAAAAGCATTTGGAGCCTACAGTAGCGCGTACGTCTTGGCTCCTTCTTCTTGGCTTCATTTAAAGTTGGTTTCGACCTTTGGCATAATATCTCGTAACAGAGACCAGCTCATCTCAACACCTCGAGCCTAAAATAAAAGGTATGCGCGAGTCGATTTATTGATACTTAGAACCTTAGCCGTGTACTAGATGCTGGTGTAGTGACAGAAGGATCACATCCAACACAATCCACAAAATCAGACGTGAGTAAATCTATAAGTGAATCATTTTGTCCCCACTATACCCCTTCCAACAGTGAGTTTACCACTATCACACCTCCGAGTTGATCATGACTTCTCGTAGACCGTGTTTCGACCCCTAGCCTTTTCTCAGACTCAGTGGCGCCTGGCGCATCATTAATACAATACGGGAGAACGCGTTATGCGTCACCTTCTAGGACCTTAAGCCCCGCAGACTGGTCCCGAGCAGGCAGGTAGTAATTTGACTTTATCACCTCACATCCTAATCCCAGCTTTCGTCAGCACCCAGCTCACATTCTTCTTCCGGACCGCGTACGTGATTCTCGACTTCAGGAAGGGCAAGGTATGGCTAACAATTTTTGTGTAGCTTTCAACACATATTCTTCCGAAGGTTTTAGACTTTTACAGCGGCCTCGTAAGGCGACGCCTGATGGCACGGTGGCTGCACTACGAAATCATGCCCTTGGTCTATCCCATGTGAGCTTGCTAGACCTACCAGAACCCTCTTCTTTGAATCAGGACTCCACGGACCCCTTTGCTATGTCGCGTGCCAGCTCGAGCTCACCCTCATCCGTTCCGTCTATGTCATATCCTGTAGACACATTAGGCGGCTCGAATGAGGGAAGGGAAGACGATTCCCCGGTTGACCGGCTTCCCACACCACCGGATATGCTGTTCGTCGAAATAACGGATGGTAAAGGATCTGGGGAAGGTGGGGCGATTCATTTGGAAAGCCTGTCAGAGGAGGAAGAGGTTGGGGAAGTACTCCGAGTAATGTCGAGTAGGGGTTCTCCGATGGTATACCCAAAAGACCTTCCTCTATCTCCACTGTCGTCTTTGAGCGACCTAGCTTCAAAGTTAAACTCGGATCCTGGCCCCGGGCCTTCCATTGAAGAGCTTGTACTGATGGCAAAGAAACCCGTGAAAGCTACTCAAGGATTGAGCAAAAAAAGGAAGGCACAAAACCAAAATCCTGCCGAGTCGACATCGAAACGTCACCGAGGAAAATCTAGGAAGAAGCAGAATACCCGGGTCACGAAGTCAGCCTCGAAGTCGCCGCGAAAGCTTTGCTGCGCATGGCCAACTATTCCTCGAAAAGATAGCGAGTTCAACAGACAGGTATGGAATGTATGCAGTCGCATCGTTTGCATGATAACCATTTGCATATTTTTCTTAAATTCAAGTTCATACAATGTGATGGGTACGCCATAAGTATGACAGATACTTGCGTTTGCTCATCTATGTTTCAGATGCAAAGCGTGGTACCACTATGGTTGTGTAGGTATAGTGGTAGGCGATGAGCGGCTCGAAAGGGATGAGACGTTCCTTTGCCCACCATGCAGGTAAGTGTGTCTGAATTTTTGTCGTTACTGGCATTTCAATACGTTTTTCAATACGTTTCTCTCGTTACAGCAGCAAGAGTGCGTGTAATGTTATCACTTCATATTTTTGTGTGCTGACTTCCAATATGGTCAGACGACAAGGGATTGCTCAAGCCTAGCGAGCGCTGTAGGAGACCTGACTGTGGCTACGCTGAGCAAGGTTTAGACCCTGATGAATATTTCGTGGAACGTATCGTAGGGAGGAAACAAGTGGGCCGGCAGCAGTTTATTTGGCTTGTTAAATGGGAAGGGTGAGCTCATTTTCAAGGACATTTAAACAAGTCATGTATAAAATGTTTTCCTGAATGGCTGATGCCTTCGTGACTAGATATCCCATCTCGATGGCGGAATGGATATCGGGGGACGCTATGCAAGACCACATTAAGCTTGCTGAACAATTTATTGATGATGCATTAGCTGAGGGAATCGATCTGGTTCCGGAGGATACTGCACTGCTAATGGAGGCTAGGAGGGGTGGGTGGGTGACTTAGTTCTTTGGTAACTCGTTCAAAATGTTATCATATCGAGCTTCCTGGGTTTTACCATGTTACCATAATTTAGCATAGATGAATCGAATTTATATGCCTACTATTACTTTTCTTTTTTATTACAGCGACCAGCGTCGGTACCCAAGGTGGCACCTTTTGCAATGACACACGTGTCTCTTAGCAGTCACAGTAAACTGTCGCGTGTATGTAGGCTTGTGGCACGCCACTAGTACTCTACGTCCACAACAATACCGACCTTTCAAATTATGCCACCGCTGCCCAGTGAAATCTACAGCGAGACTCTAGACCTATTATCTTCTGTGAGACGGCGGCAGAAAGATCTTCTTGAATTCCAGATTCCACGTCTCAAGTCATGTAACGAGTCACTACACATTCAACAAAACCTGGCAACGGAGGTACGAGAGGACATTGAGGTACTTGCACGACAGATTGAGGTGTGTGTTTTACATTCAACTTCCGCGCAGAAAGTCATTGTCGTTGGTTTGTAAACTAGGAGTTAGATATCTCTGTTGAGGACCAGTGTAGTGACAATGGCCGGAGAGAGCTGCGGAAGATCGTAAACGAGCTAACAAATTCCCTTGCAAGGCAGGTCACAATACATCATTCTTTGAAACGCACCCACTCACTGATAATCGCAGCATAAAGAAGGAGTCTCGAGCTGCTCTTTTGATTTCAAAGCGAGCTATTGATGCTCGAGGCTATTCAAATCGAGAGGAGCTTCTCCGCTCTTCAAGTTCATCTGTCCAGGAGAAGCAGATATCGAACGGGGGAGCAGGGTATGTCAATGTGCTTATATCTTCCCGCGTATCTTTTATGACACTGGCAAATAGAGACGATGCGCTCATGAAAGCCAATAACGATGTTACCGCAGCATTGCAAAGGACTCTTGGTCTTATGCAGAAAGAACTTGAACAGTCTGTGCTTTCAGCTCAAATGCTGGGTACGTTTATTTCCTATATAAATAGACATCGGTTTAATTACACGATATACAGAGTCCTCCACTGCGACGTTACGGTCAACTTCGACCACCCACGATATGCTCACGAACATGTTGGGGACCTCTAAACAACTTATAACAGCACTCGAAGACACAGACTGGCTCGATCGTCTCATTCTCATATTTGCACTTAGCTTCTTTTTCCTGGTCGTCCTGTTTATCCTCTCACAGCGTGTTATCGGCCGAGGACTGCAAATTGCATTTTGGTGGACACGCTTTATCCCTTTCGGAAGTTCCTCCCAGGATATTGTTTCGGAGAAAGGTGGTGTACTGTCCAGCTCTACTCCTCTCAGCGGCGGCATCTAATACGTTGCTATCAGCCTCTTCTGTCGCTACGAGTTTTGCGGATCAGCCCACGGTCCGTGATTGGAATGATGGACAGAGTTTTGACCCAGAGTCACCACTTTCGTCGATTATATCTACCATAACGCGGACTATAGATACTTCTCCCACTGAAGTTGTCCACGTAGAACTTTAGAGAGTCGCTGCAGAACGTTTCAGCGATATAATATGGGAAATTTTGTATTTATTTTCAGACGCTTGTCGCCACGCGAAAGCGGGTGGAGTGGGTAGTAGCTTGACCGGAAAAATGTATAGGTACTTTTAGTCGAGGTTAGGGTTAGATTTCAAGCCGGACTTTCTCGCGTTCTTGCGGAGAACCACGCCTCTCGAGAGTGCTCCCATGAATAAAATCCATGTATTCTTCCAGCTTTACACAGACCCTGTAGTTCTCTCCCCCCCGCAGTTCATTTTAACACACAAGAAGTGCTCAAAAATCGCAATGGATCCTGCAAATAATGCCTATGTATTTGGATTTACCGCAATGCCTCAAGGTATGGCTCTGCCGCTCACAGAGCAAGGTCGCTTTTCAACCCCTAGCGGTCGCCAAGATAAGAAACCGAGATTGTTTTTGGAGGGCGCCTCTGGGAATTCTGTTGAAGACGCCCGTGTTGTGCCGTGCCTCTTCGCCTGTGTGCCTCTGGAGCTACTCGCAGAGATATTGATACTTACAAGATCTCCTCGAGATGTCTTGGCGGTAGCGCGGTGTAGCAAGTACTTCTGTGCGACGCTTGTTAACAATCCTTCTTCTGATTACATATGGCGGAATGTCCGAATGACTTGTTTGCCTCGACCTCTACCCGACCCTACACCTAATTTCTCAGAAGCAGGGTATGCCGCATTTTTGTTTGGAGGGGGCGAGTGTGAAGTGCGTCTTTATATCAATATATAGCGTTAAATCTGGCTGTATGCTGATTCGTGATGGGTTTCAGATCTGCAAACAGCAGACGAATGCTATGTACGTGTCATTTGCTCTTCGCCTGCGTCTCTGCAAGAAGGTATGGGAACCTTTCTTTCTTCAGAGAACAAGCTCTCAAAAATTGTTTGTCCAGCCTGAATGCAGGAAGAAGTTCATCAGGTCTGGACCTTCCATTTCTGAGATGTTACGCCCACTTATGTTCTATCTATACAGCGGTTCTCTGGTTGATGCTTCGCTGATCTACAAAGACAATAATGTACGCGATGTCATCTGGGTACCTTATGCGGAATCTAGTCGATGTTTTGGTAAGTCCACAGTAGAAATAACTCGCTTTTCTCCGACTGACGTATTGATAGCACCCTTCTCCCCATTGACTCAAAACTGTAAGTTATTCCGTTGAAACGGAGAATACTACTTCACTTTTACGTATGTAACTAGGGCCAGACGTGCAAGTCCTCTTGCGTAGATCTGACTGGAATCATTTCTTCGATGAGTATCGTATATTTCAAAGTAGTCCGAAGTCGTCAGCAGTGGCGAAGGTGATATTTCAGGAAGTTTTACTCCTCTTTTGGGACTCACGTTAATACAGCAATGCGAAGCCCATATCAAGAGATTGCATCAGATTATGACGGTGAGGAGCAAACTCCCTTTGGACACATACATGCCTGTAACGTGCGTTATGATCAAGTTGGCTGTGGCATTGATGGACTGGAAAGAAGCTCACGAAAAATTACGGCGACGTGTGAAAGGGAAAAACCAGTCCTGGTAGGCTCTACATAACACGGTAGAAGATATTGAGATTAACGATATGACAGGACTCAAGCACTTGCAAGACAAGAAGGTTGGAATATACATGATCTTTTGAATTGTGAAGCCTACGGTTCATTGCACAGGCATAAGACCAATGTACTGGAAGAGTTAAACCCAACAGGTTAGTAAGGCCTTTATTTCGCACTTGGCCTCGCTTAATAGCTATGGTAGATTTCTCGTTGGTTCGGGAAGACGTGGAGGCACAACTACTCAACATGACGGAACGCCGGCAGCGAAGCATGAACGAGCACTATTATCGACGCCGCAGGATTGAAGTAGAGCAACACTTTAATCGCCTCAAGTCAGAGGGAAATTTTGTACTCCCCACGCTCGCGGAATTTCGTAAGTTACCCGTCATGCAGCTAGTTCAAGGGAAAGTCGGAACTTCAAACAACAGTTTTGCTGGAGACTTAAAGAATTCCCTATTAATAGCAGAGTTGATTCAGGGTGACCTGAGAAAATGGATGGAGCCTGTAGTAGATGCTCTTTCCAGTGAACTTGGATATCCGAATTGGAAGAGTGCCAGCACCAAGAAGCTGTCTCCTGTCAAGAGGCTAACCGCCCGATTCAAGTGTAAAAGGTGTGACAGAGTGGCTAAGAAGTACTCCAACGATGGATGCCTTGACTTCGAGGGTGTTTGTGCGCATCAATGCCCTCATCTTTCAGAGAAGGAAGCAAAGCAGGGTAGCTGGAGAGTTGAAGATTTTGTGAAGGATGAAAAGGTGTGTTTATTTGGTTTATTCTTAGTTTGTCTGACTTAAAATACTCTCATGTGGAGGCAATTCGAGTCATCTCTCAGGCTCTTACTCTATGCGGAGCGAGAGAAGACGATCCGAGTTCGGCGGATGTTGTCAAGAGCTTTGGCCCTCGGTTCAAGTGCTTGTCTTGTTCTGCCAAGATTGTGATGGGTTTTAGCTGTCTTGTACGCACCTGCTCTCTCCTTTCTCTATTCATAGAACAGTACTCATGTTTGACATTATAGGTTGGTCATGCTCATCGGCACGATGAGATGAAAGTTGAACTAGAAGCAGAAAGAGATATATTTTCTATCAACATATTTCCCATTTTGGAAGGGCGTTCTGCCACATTGATGAACCTCAGCTATCGATCTAAGAAGCAGCGGGAACTCCGTGTTTATGGATGCCGACATTGTTTACCAGGCGGTGATATCAGGCCAGAAATCTCATCATATGATACGGTTCCCCGTGAAGGTCGAGACACTGCACGGGCGGCCACCGCATTCCCTTCGGCGAGCGAAGAAGCGAAGCGTCATAAAAAGATACAATTCTTCAGCTTCGATGGATTGAGATCACACGCAAAGAACAAGTGAGTTGCAATCACGCGTGCGCAATCACGGTTACGCAAGCTGACCGCCCATTGTGTTTAGGCACCATATTGAACTACTACGGGACGAAGACTTGTTCTATCAACCGCCGTCGCATTTAAGTGTGAGATTGTTTCGGAGCTAAGTAGGGGACAGGAAATATCGGAAAGATCGAAGTGAGGCTTGGAAGAAATCAGACTTGGAATATCGTTTCCCGAGGTAGGTTTGCACGGGTATTTTCCATACGGTCCGTTGGCGATGCGCACGAGTTCAATCATACCAGTCGAGTGTTTCTTTGGGCCAGTTGTAGTTTGGATGTAGTAGTGACGGTACGCAGAATCCAGCATCCTTCTACAATGCGAATTCCCGCCATACCAAAGACTTATTCAGGACACGCATGCTATATGCACGTAAAACGATTCTGATTTCCAGCGTCGTCTGACGTAGAAACCATGAGTGATTTATGGATGTCGATAAGAATCGTATGGACCAGATATTGAGGGAACACAGCCACAGCGGTCATGTGAGAAGGTCAGTCGCGTGTTCGAGTGGGAACTGTTCTCTGTGTTTTTTATGCCATCGGCCTTGTGGCCATCGAGAACAGAATGTTCGCCTCATCATGCGACCTAAATCTCAAGAAAGGTACGGTCACGTTCAATACAAATCGCAGATTGATACTTCCGAATACGACCACAAGGATTAAGAAGTGGCAGTGACAAATTCAGGAGACCGAAGCACTGACTAGCGTGTCGACCAGGATGCCATAATATAAATATCATCTCGCTCGGTTGAAGGTGCCCCAACTTGAACAAACCTCTTTCTTGTTCAAACTTCAAAGACATGTCTTTTCGTCGTTGGTTCCTGGCAGCGCTGGCTGTCTCTTCCGCCAGTTTGCCTGCTGTCCATGCTGGAAACGTTCAAAAGCCAGGCCTGACCTTGCCTGCAAATGCATCAATCCAACAGGATGCTGTCAAGCAGATTTTTAACACCAGTTATACCGCCTACAAGTAAGTTTTGGGTATTTATGCCTCTACTCCATATTTCCAATGAACGTGTCTTTCACTCAGACAATATGCTTGGGGCCACGATGACCTGGCGCCTGTGGACGAAACGTATGTCGACGGACTGGGCGGATGGGGTGCTTCTATTGCAGATGCATTGGGTACAATGGTAAGTTGCAGATACTATTCGGATTGCTAGCGCGGACTCATCTACTTATTCTTAGTATCTGATGGGTTACACCGTGAGTAACTAATGAAAATTTCGGCGACCTCATCATTCAAGTTGCTTTACGTCAAAATAGGATTGGTTCGAGGAAGCCATAGATTACGTTGGTACAATCAACTTCAACCAGTCCAAGACACCGGACACCGTTAGGTATTGCTTTTGTATTCTATTTCCGCTACGTTCATCTTAGGCTTACGGTATCTTGATTCAAGCGTCTTTGAGACTACTATTCGATACGTGGGAGGGTTCATAAGTGCATATGAACTGAGTGGCCAGAAGTACCCTATTCTCGTGCAGAAGGCACAAGAAGTTGCTGACAAGATGGTATACGGTTTCGTTGGGGTGAGGCTAACTACGAAACTTAAATGCAGCCTAGTCGCTTACGTCTGTGACAGGACAACCCTATTCCTTACAATTACATCAATTTCACCGACAATCAGCCTGCATCTGGCACAGTAAGTCTTCACTTTTCTTTGTTGTTAAGGGCATGCCTAAACCATTTTTCTAGTCAAACGTTGCTCAAGCCGGATCAGTAAGTAGCTGCTGGTTGTAGTTCGTCATGCCGCTAAGGTCTTGTAACACAGCTCACCCTCGAATGGGGACTGCTGAGTCAATACACAAAAAATGACACTTATAGCACTTTGGCCACAAACTCCGTTTTGCATATGATCGGTTTGGTAAGCTATTTCGACATTCACTCACTCATTTTATTTTGGTGCTCAAACGATTTCTAGGCTGATCCAATTGCTGGTATTCCCGCCCAAGGTATTGATCCTGCTACTGGCGAGTCTGTAGGGTCCTATGTCGTAAGTTTATTCCATGGACTCTCGATTTCACTTTTTCTGAGTATTGCAGACGTGGGGTGGAGGAACCGACAGTTATCTTGAGTATTTGATTAAATATGCACGCCTTACGAATACCAACGATACGACTTACGCCGACGCCTGGGCCACTGCTGTGGACTCCTCAATCCAGAAGTTGCTTAGAGTGAGTTTATTTATTTATCTCATGTAGCTCAACGACTCTTTCTTAACATGTCTCCAGAACTCCACAGTTGATGATTGGCTATACCTTGCTGATTTCGATGGTACTAACATTCTCCACGTTGGCTCCCATTTGGCCTGCTTCTACGGTGGTAACTGGATCCTTGGTACGTCAATCCTAATATATATATATATATATCAAGACCACTGCTAATTGTTTTACTCTCTTGCTAAGGTGGGGCGTTACTGAACAACCAGACTATTATTGATTATGGTCTCCAGTTGACTGATGCATGCATGAACACCTACGCGAGCACTGCGTAAGCCACGCTTCCTGTATCATAAGCAGTTGACTGATAACTGACCAAACGGAACAGGACTCAAATTGGTCCAGAGACATTTGCCTACATGTCCAGCGATGGTAATGCTACAGGAACCACTCCCCCTGATGCCGCACAACTCGCCTTTTACAACGAACATGGTTTCTATATCACCACCGCCGATTACATCTTGCGCCCCGAGGTCCTTGAGTCAAACTTCTACGCGTGGCGTGTGAGTGGTGATCAGAAGTATCTCGACAATGCCGCAAAAGCTATCCAAAGCTTCGAGAAATACCTCCCAACTACTGTCGCATACACTGGAATCAATGATGTTAACCAGGTTAACTCGACTAAAACCAATGACATGGAGAGTTTCTGGTTTGCAGAAGTCTTGAAATACTTGTACGTATGAGACGAAATTTTCTGGTCACAAACTCTAACATTGTTCGGTGTATACAGGTATCTGACGTTCGATGACCCCAACAACATCAGTCTCGATGATTGTATGCCATTTTGTTTAATTTCTTCACTTTGTTTATTGACTTGCTCTCCTTTCCAGGGGTCTTCAACACTGAATGCCATCCCTTCAAGGCACCCACCGCTCTCCCCGTTTATGGTTCCGGCAACTTGATCCAGAACTCTCAGCCTTTCGCTTCACAAAGTGGCTCCCTCCCTCAAGTCAGCCCAACCCATTCGTGAAGCTCCCGCCGAACTGAGGAATAACTCGCGATTATAAGCGTTAACTTCTTTCCTGGTGTTGTCTGGGAGAGATCGGATCACATTTACCATACTTCATTTTTTCATACGCATTCAATAAACCACTGTCATGATACAAATTCTTGTGAAATGCATCTACTTAAGTGTGTGCTGAGCAAGATCTGTACGGAACTGGAAGTACACTCCCCGATCTTGCAGGATATATTGGAGATGTAGGCTATATTTTCACCATGCGTTGGCATTTATCGATAATCTGGGTAAATTTCCGAACTATCTGGGATAGTTGTCATTCGGACTTCAAGCATTATATTTTTCTGAGGAGCCTTCTAATATTTTACTTTCCTCACTACAACTTTTGTAGTTTCAATCATTCTCCATCAATTCCAGTAAGTAGTAAACAACATTTTAATAGATACACAATAGCTCTTATATTGAAACCCAAACAAAAAGGAGAGAGCATCTTCGACATGACATTTCCACGATGAAAACGTAAAATAAAAAATGAAATAAAAGAAGAGGTAAACAAAGTGGTAAGCCATACACATACATCATGTCTTCTTAGCACATACATCATGTCTTCTTAGGGGGGGGGGCTCGTAACTACAGTAGATCACGCATTCACAATGCCATGCTTGCGACAGGCGTTGGTGCTACACATCTCACACGCAAAGGCATGCCATCTGCGGGTTCTGTATGAGGGCAGATTGCATGAGCCCGGAAGAGGATGACTTGACAGTCTCTCAACTTACTCATAGTGATAGCAGCTGTAGGTTTAGCCACCTGTCCCACATACGCTGGCTCAAAAGCGAACTTTGCAATTATACCGCTACCCCATGTGTGATTTAGCTTCGAGCGATGATATAATATACGAGAATGGACTTACGCCAAGATAGCCTTCATCTCCATGATGGCCATGGTTTTACCAATGCAAGCATGCGGGCCTGCAATGAATGACAACAACGAAAAGGTGGAGTTGTATTCTTTAGGGAGGTTGAGCCACCGCTCGGGACGGAATCTAGATGCCAGGTTCATTGATTATTGTCACATAACAATGTGATTGTGTGGACCTACTCCTCGGCATCTTCACCCCAAATTTCCTTCCAGGTATTGACGACGCGGATCTACTCAAAGGAAGATGGCATGACGTCCCGATACCCTATATACGAAACACGTACCGGAATATAGAGTAGAGTTCCCTTAGGGACAAACGTACCATCAATACTCTGATTTTCTGCTGCTTTCCGAACAGTCATTGGTACAGGGGGAAGTACGCGCAGACTCTCCATGCTGTTGCAAATGATTTAGTCAGTGATGTAAAGGGTTATATAGAGTAGGGAACGTTTACACAACACAATCAAGCCACTGTAAATCTTTTAAAGTACGATAGTCGGGGCGGGGATTATTAGCAAGTATGGCAGACACTTCATGTCGGAGCTTGTCCTGAGCAGCAGTATCGTTGGCGAGGAGCCAGAGCGTCTTGTATATGGGTTTCAGTTGGTAAAGACTGGGAACAAACACAAGGGGGAACATACCCATGCCAAACCTGAAGCTGTCGTTTCGTGTCCAGCGCCGAGGAACGTCAACTGTAAAGGCAAATTAATCAAGAATCCTTTTAGATTAGTATATCACTGACAACTTGATCCATCATGGCAGTATCACTCATTTGGTAACCCTCGCCTTTGTCAGCTGTACGAGCCCGCACAAGTAAAGACATGATATCTCGTTTAGCCTCGGTATCAGATGCAGCCACGGCCAAGTCTGCAGTTTTTTCTGCTAACATTTGGCGAGATATCGTTTTAATGCGATGCATAGAGTCCATAAGGATGGCCGCAGGACCTTGTGAAGTCGATGTAAATAGAAGCACTAAAGCATACTATCAAAGAACAACGAACGGAGAATAGGAATTTTCTCAAACCAGTGACGGTGATTGTAGCCCCACTGTGAAGCTAGCAAATAGGGAAATCCTGGAATTATCACCAATAAAATGAACCGAGCGATATTGGGACCTGGGTTTTACAAAGGCATGAGCTGGAACAAATACAAATATCTACGAGACAGACGAGCTTACCTGATTGTAAGTCGATCAAGTTCTCGTAAGCTTCTGCAAGTTCATTGTGAGGATTATGTAGGGAATCTGGCTTATAACCGAAGGCAGTCTCGCATATAATGTCCAAAGTCACTTTGCTCACTGAAAAAAAATTAATAAATTCACTGATAATCACCAAATATCTTACGTACTCCAGTCGTACATGAGAATTTCTTTCCCCTTCGCAGGGTCCCTTTCAGCGTTGACTTCAGACCTGAGGATATCTATAAGACTGAAAATTACGTTAAAAATTGACAGTGTAGATGGCATAGTTATTTACCTTTCGATAGAGTCATAATACATATCAGTCTCTGCAAAGAACATTAGATACGATCCGTCGCATGTCAAGACGGGCACCTACGAGCCATCAAATTAGGGATCGAGAAAGCTGGATTCATTGCCTTGCGCATTTGCTTGTGTTCGTTGCCTGTTACCGTCAAAAGCCCGTAACCAGCCACTAAACCAAGGATATTTTTTAAGAAGCTTGGCTAGAGAGTGAGTGAGTTTTAAGCTCTAGTGGCTGTTAAAATAGCATACACGAGGACATTCGAGCCAACCGCTGACGAGTATTCTATGTAGCGCCTCGGGTTTCGTGAATATAAGACGTTCTACGCCTATGGGACCGACAGCAGAAACAACAGGACCATATTTCTTGACCCATTCACGCTGAGGAATGCCGGCTTCTTTGTGAACAATAGCACGCCACTGGCCGATCAAAGGATTACCGGTGGGCGGTCCAGGGAGATGGCGAAGGGGAGAAAGCAAGCAAGGCCAGAGTACAATGCGATATAATGCTCGGTAGCAGATATATCCTGGGAGACGCTGGTATGTAAGCCCAAGAACATTGAGCACTATGGATCAGGATAGGACGAACCAGATATCAAAATGGCAGCGTGATATATCCTAACATTGGCAAGATAATATTTACCGACATCGAAGGCGTGCTGGATAGTGAGGGACATTGTGTACGCTCAAAAAGCTGCGCAGCCAGACCACATATCTTTAAAGTTGTAGAAAGCTTATGATTTTATGCGGGCCGGGTGCTGTCAAGCACACAAATGGTAACAAGACCATGTGTTCCCGACAAAGTTCCTTCCCTACGCAGCAGGTGTAACAAGTGTTTTCGCATTGAAAATACGCGGCCTCAAAGAACGGTTGGTACGAGATAGATGTCATCTTTCAGTCAATGGATCTGCACTAGCGCACATTCCCGAACTGGCATAGTGAATACTTAAGAATCTCAGCTATATTCATATCGATAAAGCGACGTGAGAATTACAACGGAGTTCAAATAATTTCATTATGCCGAAACGACGGCAATCTGCCTGTCTAATATTTTCAAGTCAATTAGAGGTCAGCTAAACTCCTACGTAATAATTTAAATATCTCAAGTTCCGGTCTACTTACTGATATGAATTTAGCTGCTTACCTTAAGAGCACTGGAAACTCCGTGCTACTCTCGATTCACGCCACCATGCATGTCTTTAGCGACATGAGCTAACGCGATAATAATAACATTTGAACCGTCAGCAAGTGTTCTCGATGGACCAGTCCACGAGTAGCTATGACATTGACATTGGTCAGTACAGTAAAATAATTTTTTGCTGATAATTTTCTGGTAAATAGTACTCTTTCGAACACTCAATCGCGAAGGCATTTGGAATTAACTTCCCTGAGGTGCCGATATGTGAAAAGCAAAAAATGCGTGCGCGAGAAACCTCATAATTCATACTGGTCTTGTTGCGTAGTGAAGCCATACAGTATAACAGCTATGTCGTCCCTCTCATCCTTGCTTCATTTGCATCTATAAGCCACTCTTCAGGGAGTGCTAGGACAGCCTCAACGAGATGTCTTCCCACCGTCTTGGTCAGAAAGCTTGGACATTGTTATGGACACTAGTAAGTGAGCCTACCTTACAGCGTTTGGTTTTTTCTCGATGACATCGAATCCCATCCTTAGCAACAGAGTTCCGTTTGGCAGATGATAAAGATCTGCCAGAGTCACGTCCTTGAATCAGAGAGCATCTAGTAGTTTTACAGTGACTTGGAATAAGCTGAAGCCACCCTTGTTATTGTGCCCACTCTCCATAGACAGAGTAGCAGCCTGACACACAATGGGAAGCAAGTGAAGGCAAGAAATAGGCAGCTCACGTTACCAGCAAGTCTTTCCCAAGATCACCTCGTATACATCCAATTCTGCGTTCAGTGTAGTCAGCAACTCTGACACCCTTGTTTCATTCTCTTTTAGCCCGCGTAATCTTTATCGTGTATCAGAACATGGTGCGTGATCCGTGACACCATAACCAGGAACTTACTTTGTAACTAGCTTCTCACAAAGACCCGTCCTCACGGGGGATCGAAATGAAATGTTTGACCGCCCTGCTTGTATAATGCATATTTTCCAGGTTCTACAAGGATCATGCCCTGGATACCATGCACGGCCATATTTCTTCTCGATGTAGTGCCCCCTGGGACCTGGGTGCTCGATTTTGGCAGCATTTTCCGAAATTTCGATGATTGCAATGACTACAAGTCGTGAGTATCGATTTGTTTCGCTTCTCCAGATGAAGTGTGACGACGATACTTGAACCCGAGCGCATTGCAGGATAAGCCACATCTCCACCCACAAAATTATGGCCCTTGCGTTCTTCCGTTCTCAAAATTTGAACAATTGGTGTATTGTCACGGGCTCAGGAATCCAGCATTGGCCGCACCGTGAAGATTAAAACATTGATATCATAACGACTATGGTACATTGTTATCTGCATGATAAGAACCAGGACGACATTTTCATGCTTGTCTCAAAATCTAACGACGATATCCCTTGATTTCGATTGGTTTCCTAGACTTTACCCATATCGATCTCCCCTTCAACTGCGTCTGCAAGCTCGCTCAAAGTCGAAAAGTGCCATGTCGAAGTTTTCTTTCCTTCTTCGCTACCATTGCTTTCACAGCCGCCAAAACCCCGCACTCCAAGTACGCTACCCTCCCTTTCTATCCAGACACTCCTCACCTGTACGCTCGCTGGGACGAAGCTGTGGGACACCACAATGACTTGATCAGGGGTCATGTCGATTGTAGAATGTATAGTTTTGAGTACGTCATTAACAACGGTCCGCGAGACCGAATCGGTGTTACCAGCTGATGATAGTTGATCTTGCGCGTGAAGAACAATAGAAAAGGGAGAAGAGGAAGATGCATTAATAGCCGTGGAACTGGCGGTGAGTGGTGGCGCTGAAGGCTCGGGTGAGCAGAGCATCTCCTCCATCTGCTTCCATCCTGATTTATCAACATTGCTTAGGACGACGAGCTGGAAATGCCGCGCGAGTCTGCGCAGCCCATCCTGGGCATCAGGGAACGGCGGTGAGGCGAGGACATGCTTAGCAAAGGCCGTATGTTCGTCGTCCTCCTGTGCACTAGTCCCCTTTGCGCTCTTCATTTCACCTCCCTTTCCTGCGAGGACCTCCTCCGTGGTAGCAGATGTAGAGGGGCCTGCGCCAGCATCTGTCTTTTCACCTTCAAATGGGTCATTACCATTTCCCTGGCTCGTGTCATCCGAAATACCAGAAACCCTGCGACAGAGTGTGCGATGGGCGAGTGCAAGGAGATCTGTGTACGACATTGTTGGGAACTGAGCACTTAAATCTTTCTCGACAGATGCGAAAGCCAAAAGTGCGTCGTTAGGAGACCATTGTCGATTGCTGGTATCTTTCTGGGTATCAGACAGAGGTGGGTACGTTGAGAGGGCTGACTTGATGCCTTGCTCCACGTTGATAAGTGTACCAAAGACGTCGAGAACGAGGACACGATGCGAGGTCAACGATTTTTGCATTTCTGCGGCTGGATTACTTGGTGAGTGTGATGATTGGTGCTATGATTCTGTGGCACGCAGCATTGCAGCATTTGGAAGAGGGGAGCATGACGTAGTAGGGCTTAAAGTGGCAAGTGCGTTGACTTATTTGGTAATGCGTCTTATAGTGGCTGAAGCGATATCCACAACGCTTGAACTAGACAAAGCACATGTCTGTAAGATAACATTGTCCCCTATCTAATGCTGACTCACATGACATCGCCTCGTTCCCTCTCATCGTTAGGTTCGTGCCAATCAATGTACACCAATTCCCAATACTGTTGTAATGCTCTGAGCACAGCTGCCAGGCCCGACGTCGCGAGACTACATCCGCTAATCTCGGGTACTGACCTCCCCGCCGTGACATACGGATTCCCTACGTTGCTGCGTTATTTGCCCTTCAATTTTTATTGGCTATACCACCACCACAACCGGGGTAGTTGCTTAACAATCATGGACAAATTACCCTCGGCCAGTAGTCGCGATGTTTTGGTCAACTGACTTTGTTAACTTGCGCTCGGATTATCACTTATTCCAATCAGCACCTGGGGCAAAGTTCCATCAGTCCAGATATCTACCACGAGGCGTATTCATTTGTACTACGATGTTTTCGATGCCTCGCTTCAGCCCCTGTCCCAGTAAAAGATATATTTTCGCACATTAAGGCGTTCTTACCTATTCAAGCTAAAGTGGCCCACGATCACACGCTTGTCTCCTTCTATGACATTCCATGCCAGATCAGTTTCGTGAACCAGGAGTATACATATCCACCTGGAGATAACCATTTACAGTAAATCGCTCTCATATCACAAAACGGCCGTGCCCGAGCTATCAAGATGTTGATGAGTAATAGGGAAAAACATTGAACGAGGACGTCATTAACACTGTAAGCATCAAAGGGGGGCCTGGCTTACAATCCAATCAACGTCAACCTGACTTCCTCGATACTAACTCCAGTCCTGAAATGCATAAAGCCTCACACGCGAACCCGACCTGACCGCCAAGATCGAGAACAGCACAGCTGCATTGACGTGGACAGGTGCCAGCGCTGTCGGCACTGTCAGTATCTAAGCACATCAAACTTCTTGGTCAGTTTGGATTAGAAAGATCAGGTGAGCGTCTCCCGAAGCGTAAGCTCCAGCTACTAATCACGTGTCAGTAAAATCAGTAACCTTCCAACTGACATCAGAGATCATCAAAAGGCCGGTCTGGTGTCCAGGAGCATATATAAAGCCGTTCCTCACCCATCTTACCCATCTCCTTCTACTTCCTCTCAGATCCTTCATAGCACCCCACCTCCTTACATCTAACCATGACCCTTAAAATCTACGGTATCCCCTTGTCGACCTGTGTCCGACGTGTCGCTGTTGTCTGCAAGGAGAAGAACGTCCCATACGAGGTCGTCCCCGTCGACTTATCCAAAGCCGAGCACAAATCTGCCAGTTACCTTGAGAAGCAGCCTTTCGGCCAAGTCCCTTACATCGTGAGCCCTTCAGTAGCTCTATCACTGATGCCTGATATTGATAACATGAGAAGGACGACGATGGCTTCGTCCTTTACGAATCGCGCGCAATCGGGACCTACATCACCAGGAAATACGCATCGCAGGGTACCCAGGACTTGATCCCCACCAGTAACGACCCTGAAGTTTTGGCTATTTACGAGCGAGGTCTTTCCATCGAAACCTCTCAATTCGACCCCTCCACATCCGGTTTGGCATGGGAGAACGTTTTCAAGAAGTAAGTCTAATATCCGATCATCACGAACATGATGTTGATGGTCGATGTTAACATTATTAGGATGTACGGAGTAGAGACCGACAAGGCCCGAGTTGAGGAGTTGCTCACCACATTGAATGGAAAATTGGATGGTTACGAGAGGATTCTCAGCAAACAGAAGTACATCGCTGGTGATGTGAGTTATCTATCTACTTTCTTTCTCAAAAAGAAAATTTCGATTTTCTGTTCTCCGTACCGATGTTCCCACTGAACGAGGTCTATGAATCACATTGAAAGAATGCTAATCTACTTTACTCACAGCACGTCACTCTCGCCGACCTGTTCCACTTGCCTTACGGTAGCATGCTCGGATACCAAGGAAACGATATCTTGGAGTCTGAGACGAGGCCCAACGTTGCAAGGTACGTTCGATTTTCTGCACTATTCTTGTCTCAGGCTATATTTGGTACTGTCTTGGTTGAAACACGCTCGAACGTGTTGTAACTATTTGTTTGTTCCGATCCCACGAAAAGCTCGTTCGGTTTTTTTTTATGTGAATAGTTGATTATTGATGTGGTACTCACCACCGTTCTTTCTCACAGGTGGTGGAAGGACATTTCCTCGAGGCCCTCCTGGGAGGCCGTGAAGAACGGCGCATAAAAGCCGTACTCACTTGTGTACAAATACGTCTTAGGGGGAGGCCACCAGGCAAAGAGTAGCAGTCATTGTAAATTGTACATTCTCTTGTACTGTTTTGTTCCCGCGGTGCAGCAATAGAGTTCTTGAAGGAAAAAAGTTGGAATCCTGGTTTTTGATGAAGAAAGGCTGCATCGGTAATCTCCATGCGGTCAAAGCTTCTGATGAGGAGGATTTAGAAAACAATGACGTGAAAAGTGATGCTTTTGGTCCCACACCATTCACTGGATTAAATACATTCAGTAATGATTGTGATCAGAGTTATGCGCTCACTATAGTACGTTGGGAATCGAGAATGTCTGAAGTTGTTTATGACTAAGGCATGATGGGAACGACTAAGTAAATACAGGTTTTGTAGTAGTAGTTATATACTTTCTATAGTATTCCTATGAGTATTCCCATGTAGGTAACAATGTCACAGTCAATGTATGATGATGAAGGTTGCAATATTCCAACATAGTATGGTTGCATTAATGATGGTGAAGCAGCACTCAACAATAATCAGATAATATTAGTTGTGTTCAGAGTGTATGTGAAGTCCTCCCCGAGGACTTTAAGGCTAAAGAAGCTGTTGGAACATTACAACCTTTGTCATCATACATCATCGTACATTGACTGTGACATCATTACCTGTTGTCTGTAATAATAGAGTAACTCAGTCTATTTGGAGAAGACTTATATTCTATTATGATGTACCTGTAATAATAGAGTGACTAAGAAATATTGGGAGTTTGTTGTAATGGTCTATAGTAGCAGTTTGACATACCTCAGTCTATTTGGAGAAGACTGAGGTTGTCGTTACTGAGGTATCCGAGTTTTGCTATTCGAGTGTGGAAATTTAAAATTATGTAATGTGCAAAAAAGCGAAAACAAGGAAAAGATTTCAAGTGTTCAGTGATAGTTTGTATAGTAGTAAATGGATACTAAAACAAATGTAATGTAGTCCATACCTCAACATTACCTACATAGGAATACTCATAGGGTCTTTCCTTTATATACTCACAACTGTTTCATTCATTTTCCCTCTTTGGTGGATTCTGTCATACCTGTGTCACAGTAGCCAGAAAACTCCCCCAAGTCCAAACTCCCGGACCTTCAGTCTTCCCGGAATTATGTTCCTTGTGCTCTGCCACTTGGCAGGACCCTGTACCTAATAAATCTAAGAGAAACTCAGCCGCTGCCTGAGAGGCTATAAAAATGACTGATATTATTTACCTAAGAGAAACTACAATAGATGTCAGTTTAAGGTAATCTCTAATAAATGTAATGTAACATACCTCAGCCGCTGCCCAAGAGGCTATAGAAACGACTGAGGTATTCCTATACTAAACTCCCTACTACTTATAGTAAGAGGTGCTACTCGCTAAGGTATAATGACTCCTAGGGGTACAATGGTGACTCCATGGAGAGGTGGCTATGCTCCATAGAGAACAATGGCTGCTCAAGTTGTTCAGATTGATCTAAGATAAGATAAAGGCTATACAAATAATCAGCTAGGTAATCAAAAAGGGGAAAAAACAGAGAAGGTCTCACCTCAGATCTCGTAGTAGAGTCTGAGGTGATACTGTGAGGAATCAATTTTTCTTATTGCATTCCCATCATGTCGTGGTTATCTGAGTTATTCCCGGTCACTCCTCTCGCTCTTGGACTAGAGATTACACCTGGTACTCTATTACTTTTATCCTTTTTCTTCTTATTCTCCATTCATACTCACGTCCTATCATACTTACAACAGAGGAGAACTGTTATAGACCCTCGAGAAGATATCCAAATGACATAGCAACGATTCAGTGCTATGTCTGGGAATACTTCGGAGGGATATTGATAAGCGAGGAAGGCTGTGAGTCAGCGCCTTCTCATGGGCTTACTGATACAGCCAATCACACATCTCTTATCAATACTTTCTCTCATATGATTAGTAAATACGATAGATCGGACCACTTTCTCTTTCTTTTCCTATTGGTTAGTCAATTGGTCAGACCACTTTCTTAACTCTTCCCTTTCTCGGTCTGACCCTTGTTATTCACTATATAAAGAAGTACATACTCGATGTATTATTCTTTAGTTCAATATTAGTTTGGATTTGCGCCTATATTGATACTCTTCAACTCTCATACCCTGCTTCACCGCCTTTCAGCAAGGACTTGACAGGTATATAACGTCACTGATGAGTTCAGTTTGAAGGTATCAGATGATGGCAAAAAATGCAAAGAATTGGACGAGAGCGGTGATGGTAGATAAGACATCCAGTTTGAGAGGACTGAACGACGATAGGTGTGGTAGTATGGATAGTAAAAGGTTGATGATGGTAGTGAGGAGAGGGATAGAGATGTGAAGAAGGTGATGATGAGGGTTTTAGACTGGTGCAAAGGCAACAACAGTCTTTTTCAGGGTGTAGTGGAATGGTTTTCCAAAGTGTTACTCTGGAAAAGAATTCGAAGATGGGTGAGTTCAATATTCTGTTAGGCAACGGATACAAAGCTATATAACAAAGCACAATGCCTGGTCAAGTCCTTGCTGAAAGGCGGTGAAGCAGGGTATGAGAGTTGAAGAGTATCAATATAGGCGCAAATCCAAACTAATATTGAACTAAAGAATAATACATCGAGTATGTACTTCTTTATATAGTGAATAACAAGGGTCAGACCGAGAAAGGGAAGAGTTAAGAAAGTGGTCTGACCAATTGACTAACCAATAGGAAAAGAAAGAGAAAGTGGTCTGATCTATCGTATTTACTAATCATATGAGAGAAAGTATGGATAAGAGATGTGCGATTGGCTGTATCAGTAAGCCCATGAGAAGGCGCTGACTCACAGCCTTCCTCGCTTATCAATATCCCTCCGAAGTATTCCCAGACATAGCACTGGATCATTGCTATGTCATTTGGATATCTTCTCGAGGGTCTATAACAGTTCTCCTCTGTTGTAAGTATGATAGGACATGAGTATGAATGGAGAATAAGAAGAAAAAAGATAAAAGTAATAGAATACCAGCTGTAATCTCTAGTCCAAGAGCGAGAGGAGTGACCAGGAATGACTCGGATAACCACGACATGCTGGGAATGTGATAAGAAAAATTGATTCCTCACACAGAGGAGTTCTTTTGTGGTGTGGGTCACAGCCACATATTCAGCCTCTGTGGTTGACAGTGCAACCAATCCGAGAACCATAAGATGTGTGAGAATCCTGACTCTTATGCCAAACTAACAGACAGTCAAGGGCTCAAATCACAAGCAGGGTTTTTAGCAAGTGAATAAAGAGTTAATCAACAGCTAGGGAGTATGTACATGAAGTAGCTGGTATATATACTGAGGGACACATGTAAGTAATAAGGCACTGACTGAGCAACATGCGTAAGGCATGAGGCACTTTGTAAGTGTCTTTGTAACTACATCATATGTCATGTGATTGATCACGTGACTATGATAAGATAAGATTTGGAGAGATTATAGATATGATAGCTCCATCATTGTTATCAGTAGAAGTAGAGGATTGTGACAAGATGGTTCCACCATCTAACATGATGACATATTCTGAGATAGCGTGCTGCCATCAGCATCACAATAACTGGTAAGTTCCCCCCTTTCTGGTCCATAGCAAACCCAGAGCTCACGTGTACCCTTCAAGTACTTCACCACTCTTTTTGCTGCCTCCAAGTGCGCCTTCCCAGGATTTTCCACAAACCTCAAAAGTATAGCTACAGTGTGCACAATATCTGTAAGGAATCAATTTTCTATTGCATTCCCACCATGTTATGGTTATGCAACTCCTTCCCTGTCACTCCTCTTGCTATTGGGCTGAAAGTTACAGCTGGTACTCTTTTACTTCTATTTTTCTTTTTCTTATTTTCCTTTCACACTTGTGTCCTATCATACTTACAATGTAGGAGACTCTTCTCCCATCCCTGAGAAGATCTCCCAATGGCATAACTCCAATCAAGAGCTGTGCTCAGGAATACTTTGGTGAGAGATTAATCAATGATACAGACTGTGACTCAGTGCCTTCTCATGGGGTCATTGATCCAGCCAATCGTACATCCCTTACTAAGAAATCTTTCTCACATTATTAGTAATTATGATAGATCACACCATTTCTTCTCTTTTTTACTACTGGCTAGTTGTTTGGTCAGACCACTTTCTTATTCTTTCTCTTTTTGATCTGGCCCTTACTATTCACTATATAAGGAGTAGATGTATTTGATGACTTCTCTTTGTTGGACAGTTGGACGCCCACAGCACTAAGCTGCTCTCACATATCACAGATCTTATCAATGTGAGTACGCATGTCAGTCTTTTCAGAGTAGTGCAGGGGTGCTAACCAATCTCTCAGTTCAGATTGGACCAATTCGGTCTTGTTCTCATTTTCCTGGACAATAGATTGCCACATCTTGGCAACAGTCGTCTTATGGAGAATATTTTGCAGTGTTGAGTCTGGAGTTGTGCGGCCCAAGATGTTTCTCACGCAAAACTCCTTCTTTGTCCAGGTAGCCAGGACCTCATGTTGGGCCTGGGTCATTGTTGGTGCTGTTCCACCAGGTGACGGTTTGGGTGCAGTACCCAGTAAGTGCTCAATGCACTTTTTATCAGCCAAAACCCATTCTAACCTCATTTTGTATATAGACCAGTTCAAGCCATCAGGCTCAAGCTTCGGCACTCCTAGTGACTCCTTGTTGTTGACATTGTTAACAGGGCTCATAACCTCAAGTTGTTTGGATTGATCTAAGATAAGATAAAGGCTATACAAATAATCAGCTAGGTATTTAAAAGGGGGAAAAACAGAGAGGGTCTCACCTCAGATCCCGTCTGAGATGATATGTGGCAACCAGGCCCTCTTTATAAGTAAGTAAAAGAACAGAACTCCTATACCAACAGCTGCTTTATCAGAGACTGGGTTTATCCAGTTTTATCAGTACCTTGCTCCCATACAATACCCCAGATATCTGCTCTGATCTCCTACCCTGGACTTTCAGTCCACCATACATTTTTTCTGCACATTTTTATATTCTGTAAAGAATCAATTTTTCTATTGCATTCTTTTGCTTTTATCTATCCTATTATACTTACAATGTAGGAGATCCCTCTCCTATCCCCAAGAAAATAACCCAATGGCATAGTGCTGACCAAGAGCTATATGCAGGAATACTTCAGCGAGAGGTTAATCAGCAATATAGACTGTGACTCAGCATCTTCCCATGGGTTTACTGATCCAGCCAATTGTACATCCCTTACTAAGGACTTCTCCCACACAGTTAGTAATTATGATAGATTGTACCATCTCTTCCTTTTGATTATTGGCTTACTGTTTGGTCAGACCACTCTCTTATCCTTTCCTCATTTTGGTCTGACCTTTGTTGTTTATTATATATAAGGAGTAGATATTCAATGTATCATTCCTTAGTTCAATATTAGTTTGGATTTGCATCTATACTGATACTCTTCAACATCAATACCCTGATTCATCACCTTCTGCAAGGACTTGGCCAGGCATTTGTTATTGTTATATAGCTTCATATTTGTTGCCTAACATGTTCCTCATAGATTCTGTAGTATAGACCTTATGGTACAGCCCTCTCACATACAATTTCTCCTCACTAGATAATTGTCTGCATGGAACTCTGTACCTACATTACGAGTTACTCCTTACAAACTCCATTCCCTCTGATAGTATATAAGTTGTAACTCCTGTACTCTATTCCTGCAGTTTGAATATCAACTAGTTTCCCTACCCTCTTTACCATGTCTCCTTCTAAGATTATTCTGGCCCTTCTCTGAAGGGCCTTTACTCCATCCTTGTTGCTAGGGATGATAAAGTTCAGTTCGGATAAATGGTTCAGAACTGAGAACTGCAAAACTGGACCCTAGGTTCAGGTTTGGTTTGGTCCGGTTCTCAGTTTCTGAACCTTGGTTTGGTCTGCAGTTTGGGCATTTTTGATTTTTGCTATTGCCCAAACTGGGTTTGAACATAGCAACTGTATAGTACAACATGTACAAACAACCTGTAGTAGTATATAAACCACAATAGATCAAGGAGACTCCTCAGCGAGTCCTCCTATGGTTTACCCACAACAAACTTGGTCCTACCCCAAAGGAGATTATCCTCTCCTTCACTCATCCTTCTCTGCTTGTTCTTGTTGTGAGCCAGAGTATACAAACTTTGGTTGTTACAGATACTGAACAATTTTTGGAAAATTTCTCACAATATGAGATGGTTCAGAGGTTCAGTTCTGGTTTGGTTTGGTTCAGGGTTCAGAAAAAAATGCCTCTAAACTGAACTGAACTGGACTGAACTGAACTTTGACATCCCTACTTCAGAGACTCAGATCTCTGGCCTGTGGCACAGACATGACAATCATATGGAATTTTCACAGTATAATACATTGGTATTTTTAGTTTTCAAAGTGCAATGTTAAGTGTAGTAATATGCTAATTGGTATTACAGTAATTCCTGGACCTGTAGGTTCCAGGTTTGCATTTCAACATTGATGCTGGATTTTTTAGCAGACATTTTTAGTTAAACTGTACAATTTCATGTAATACTGCAATGTGCTACATAAAAATTGATTGAAACAGTTCTGAAAGGCATGTGAGGTGACAGTCAGGTCCAGGTGATGGTATATAACACTATAAGCAATTACCAAAGTAAGTTGTAACACCAGAGATGCAAATGGAAAACTCTAGGAGAGTAATATTACAAAAAGATGTACAGTCACACTAGAAGCTCCACCGAAAATTAAGGCATCATTATCGAAATGGAAACCAGGATCCTTCAGGATCAAGAATTGGTCTCCTTTGCTGATCTAATTCAATTTGTTGATGACAGTCTATATCTTGTAAACAATCAGGAATATTCATTCTTTCTGGCTTAGACAACACTTGAAAACGCTCAATAATGCACGCGACGTCGGGACTGGGCAAAAAACTTTTAAATTAACCCTTCGAATTCCGAAGAGCTCCGCCTGATTTTGTCTGCAGTTGTGACCTAGTGTGACAAGTACTTATAGTTGCCACTGCACCATTTTGGTTTCGTTCCGCTGCTACAACGCTTTCTCTTCAAGATTTTATTTTTACATAGGGTTCTAGACAACTCAAAATGGGATAGACTGGAGACTTTCCGAAGGCTCTCAATTTACGTAATTGTGAGTTATTCATCTTCTCCTAACAATGAATGCAACAGTTGTCCAACGATATAAGAGTATTGACTGTATATAGACGCCTACCTATCTTACTGTCCTGAAATATATTAAGTCTCGTGCAGACTTGACTTGATCGCCAAGGTTAATGACAGTAAAGTTGCGTTGGCCGTACTGTGTCACAGATATCAGCATGAGTAAGCACACGGAAATTATTCTTGGTCAGTTTGATTTAAAGATTTCAGGTGAACGTCTTTCGAAGTGTAAGCATGCCGTTGCGTGTGTAAGCCCCAGCGACTCATCAAGTGTTGACTACAGTCAGCAGAATTAATAGCCTTGCAACTTCAGAGACTGGTCTGGTGTCCAGTAACATATATAAAGAGCCGCCCCTCGTCGATCTGACGCATCTCATCTTAGTTCCTCCTGTTCAAATTCTTCATAGCACCCCACCTCCTCACGTCCAACCACAATGACCCTCAAGATCTACGGTGTATCCATGTCGACCTGTGTCCGACGCGTCGCTCTTATCTGCAAGGAGAAGAACGTCCCATACGAGATCGTCCCCATCGACTTCTCCAAAGCCGAGCACAAATCTGCCAGCTACCTTGAGAAGCAGCCTTTTGGTCAGATCCCTTACATCGTAAGCCCCTCATGAGTCCTGTCGCTGGTGCCGGATTTTGATAGCATGAAAAGGACGATGATGGCTTCATCCTCTACGAATCGCGCGCAATCGGGACATACATCGCCAGGAAATACGCCTCGCAGGGTACCCAGGGCTTGATCCCCACCACCAACGATCCTGCAGCCTTGGCTCTTTACGACCAAGCTCTTTCCATTGAAACCGCCCAATTCGATCCCTCCGCATCCGGTTTGGCATGGGAAAATGTTTTCAAGAAGTAATCCTAATCATTCCATCATCACGAACACGATGTTGATGGCTGTTTTTCACGTCATTAGGTTGCACGGAATCGAGGCCGACAAGGCTCGGGTTGAGGAGTTGCTCACCACGCTGAACGGAAAATTGGATGGTTACGAGAGGATTCTCAGCAAACAGAAGTACCTCGCTGGTGATGTGAGTTTTCTTTCTTTTCTCGGTTATAGGACGACTGGACTGCCTGTCTTCCGTACCGATGTTCTCATTCAACGAGGTCTATGGCTAATCTACCTCTACTCACAGCACATCACCCTCGCCGACCTTTTCCACCTGCCTTACGCTGGCTTACTTGTAGTACAAGGATACGATGTCTTGGAAAAGAGGCCCAACGTCGCCAGGTACGTTTGATTTTCTGCACTGTCCATATTTATATTTGGCTGTCTTGGTTGGATCATTTCTAAACGCGTCGTAATCGTTTTGTTTATTTCCCGATCCGGCGAGAAGCTCGTTCAGTTTTTTTTGTTTTGTCTTTAATATGACCGGTTGATCATTGATGTGGTACTCACCGCCGTTCTTTTCTCTCACAGGTGGTTCAAGGACATCTCTTCGAGGCCTTCCTGGGAGGCCGTGAAAGAATTCGCATAATCCCCGCCATGCTCACTTGTACAACAATACAGGGGAGGTTCGGGTGATGAAAAGCAGTCATTGTAGCTTGTACATTAACTTGTACCACGCTGTGCAGCAATAGCATCTTGTTTAAAGAGAAAAATGCTGGAGTTCTAGTTGTCGCCGAGGAAGGCGCGCATCGATAATCTCCATCAGGCCAGGACCAATGCTGATGAAGAGGATTTTGAAAACAATTACTTGAAAAGGGATGTTTTGGAACCGCATATACCCCGCCGCACATTGCCCCATGCTGAGAGACTGCGTCCATTACAGTTGCATCATTGCTGGAAAGAAACTCGAAGCAATCAAAAATAATCAGATAACGTTGTATAGACACTGGGAGGCCATATGCCTAGAGACACCAGGGCCGCCTAATCACAAGAGTTGCGCAGTAACACAGCTCATTGACAGTTAATGAACTGAATATTAGATCTTATCTCTCACCAGATACAGTAAGATGGGCTATAACGATAGGAACCGTCTGATCCGTTTCCCAAGAAGCTCACTTGGGTTTGTTCGATAAGGCAAATGCGAAGACCGTGGCTGCCAAATCGCTGACCCTCAGCGCTTTGAAATAAATGTGTTGAAGAGTTTCAAAACAACTTGGAGGAGATATCGATCGTGGACTTATTTCTCGCATATGCGAGTTTTGACTTTGTGCTACATTGTCTGCTCAAGGAAAGACGGTATTAAAAGATAGGTTGTGTGTTTAAAAGAGTGTCATGCATAAGACTGCGGTCCTAGGAGTAATATGTGCCTTTTTCAAGAAAAAAGTCCAAGGCAAATATATCAGCAGAACGAAAGAAAAAGGATTAGGAAAAAGACAAGAAGCCAAAAGTCAAAAAGAAAAATAATAAGTCAAGATGTGACAATTCCACCAGTGAAATCGTCAAAGTCACAACCAAAAGGAAAAGAGTAAGAGGCCCAGGAAACAAGACTGCTTCAAAAGCCTCCAGGTAATGCGAGCACCGCGTGTTCGAATCCTAACCGTGTCCTCTTTGGAAGTTCGGCAGGAGAGCTATGTCTCCTGACTTTCCGTTCTTCCTCGTCATTCCTGTCCATCTCTCCGCATGGGGGCGGAGAACGACGCCTGATAGTAGATAGCATGTCTCTCGCGGCGTATGCGCGACCAAAGGCGTGAAGGTTAGTCTCAGAGAGAGCAACAGGCGACGAATTACAAGTACGGGGAACTACCATAGTAGTGACCTCGAGTTTAGGCGTCAAAGGCGCCCTTGGCGAAGCGGGTGGGGGCACCGATGGTTTAGCATCAGCAATGTTCTTTCCAATAATCGGGGACGGAGTCCTAAGCGGCATATGCAGCCTACCAACAGAGAGCTGGGGCCTCGCGTCCTGGTTCCCATGCGTAACTTCTGGGGCAGCTCTAGACTGCAGGAAAGCAGGTAACCGAGATGAACGCAGAGGCTCATCTACTTTAGATACGGGGTTTTGGATAACACCGCGGATGCCCATACGGGCCGTGATGTAGTCCAGAGAAGGAAGGCGTGCAGCAGATTTCGTGGATTTGGTTTGAACCACAGTTGACTTGTTTGTCCTGGTTTTCAAAGCCGATTTGGATTGAGCATCTCTAGGCAAACGGAAGTCTACTTGTTCAACCCACGCATCATGTAATTGCTGGTATTCACCACTCAAACACTGATTATCTTCCGTAGCACACTCGAATAATGAGAGAGGCGAGCTGAGCCCAGGGGATGGCATTGTGTAGTGGAGAAGGGAGGGAGATTCGGGAGGAGTCTTGGGAGTGTAGACTGCTGTCGGCGATGGAGGGGCCTGGATCTTTGAGAGGAAAAGAGCACGGCGTTCGACTGAATGATACGAGCATGTTATAACCCTGTCTAAATTCATGAGAAGCGATAGAAAAAGAAGTACCTTGCTTGCTCCTGTGGTTCTTAATAGCAAGTTCTTTACGCAGGTCAGGCACTTTCCTCGTGCCGATCACAGACTGCCTTTCGCGAGTTGCTTTCAACATATCGTTGAAACGTCCACTTTCAAGACCCTTTCCACTGGGCTGACAATCCTGAGGACGAAGGGGAGACGACTGCCTGGGAAACCTTGTGTCAGCGGATGTTGGGGGAGGCGTGAGATGCTGAGGCCTATAGCCATCATCTTGGTCTGCTTTTGCAAATTGAAAAGGAGAGAAAGGTTCGACTATTGGGTCCTGAGGGGGGGCGAGAGAGATGGAGATGGCGGGGATGGGTTTAGGAGAGATGGCGGGCTGCATGAGGAAGGATATGTTATGAAGTGAGCACGTTTGCAGAATTAGGGTGACCCAGCACCAGGAAGGAAAAGGAGAAAAGAATAAAAAGACAGGGGAACGAAAAAGGGCGGGGAATGAGAAATAGAACGGAAAGAAAAGATGTAGGAAAGACAGAAAACAACGGCGATGATGGTTTAATGTTTGGTTTTGCAACCAGCGGCCGCGGATAGACACATTCCACGTTTCCAGCGACGCTCCTCTTGCGTTGCCCACGGAAACAGAACCGCTTCAAACCCCGACCATGCCCTCATCCCCTTGTAAATACACCCATCCTTGTACTCAGCTCACTGCAATGCCAGCTGCCTTTGCAGCATAAGACGATATATCGACACCTGCTAGTCGCAGCAGCTAGCGCTAGCGTCCGCAGATCATTCGGATTTATTTGCAAATATCATTGCACAGTTCAAGGTAAGGATGCGGTGGCAGTGATGCTCGTGGAGACGATCCAGGTGACACGCCCTCGCCTACTCTGCGACAGCGCCATCCTTTCAACCCTACGCAGTCATGCTCTGCCAAGCTCGGTTTCAGTCTTCGAGGCATATCGTGCCCTTGGTCTTCTTGGCTATTAGCTTTTAGTAACAACAGACTCGGAATAATAATAACATTCAATTGGCGATGCGAACTAGGTAGTCACAGATATTGGGAACTCCCTTATGCATCTACTTTTTCTCGTCTCCATGCTAATGTCAATAAATCCTCAGGCAGAACTTGTCACAGCAACCCAGGAAGGTCTCGACGAAATATCTTTCCACCATCTTCGTGTAGCGTCAGCTTTCCTGTAATCTGTATCGTTGTAACAGAATGAACGTACCTCGATACGTTGGGTCTTTTTTCAATGACGTCTAGCCCGATCTTTACCAGGCGTGTCCCAGCTGGAAGATGGAATAGGTCTGCAAGCGTAATCTCCTATCATTCAAACAGTCAGCATTCTCCAATGGTGTTGCGATGTCCCCTGCAATGCACGCGAGGCGAGAATATATGAAACTCACATCGCCAGCCAGGTACTTCTGTTTCCCAAGGATCTCTTCGTACACATCTAATTTGGCATTAAGCGTACTGAGCAGTTGAGCCACCCGTGCTTCGTCGGGATCCGTTTTAAAGAATCTGGATAAAGTAAGGCGCCATCAGTGCCTTGAAGCCCTCCTACACAAATGCTCGCAACACTAGGCGTACATCTTTTTGGCAATCATCTCGAAGGACAAGCCTGATGCACTGGGGTCGAAATGGGACATCTCGGTTGCTACTGCCTGCTCGTATAGTGCATGATCCTGGGGATCTGATGGGACCAAGCCTGGGGTCCCCTGTGCGGCATACTTCCTCGCGATGTAAGCTGCGATTGGGCGCGATTCGTACAGGACAAAGCCATCATCATCCTGATAACACACCGCCAATTAATCGTTGGTCAACAAATAACAGAGATGCTCTAGCAGACGGATGATGGGTAACTCACGATGTACGGAACCTGCCCAAATGGCTGTTTCTCTAGAAATCCTGCCGATTTGTGCTCATTGGCAAAGAGATCGACCTTGACGAGCTCGAAAGGGATATTCTTCTCGTGACAAACGACCGTGACGCGCTGCGTGTTAGTCGAGAGAGCCATGCCATAGAGCTTGAGGGTCATTGTTGTTGTGATATCTGATTATCAAGTGTTGTGACGATAGATTTTGCAAGGTTGGCAGATGCAATGTTGTTCGGATCGAAGGAGCTTTATGCTATACTTGAGGACCCCTGGCCACCGAGTCATATTAATGTCCGACAACCAGCATATGTACTCTGCGATCTTCACGAATCTTTTACTGGGTTAGTCAGCGCCATTAGCTGAGTCTCCCTTTTGCAGTGTCGTTAATGCCATATTAGTCAGATTGATTGGCTCATGAGTTCCTCTATACGAAGGGCCTGGTGATTCAAACCTGCGTTGAAAGAGATTCTGTGTAAACCCAGAGCTGATCATGAAATGGAGCGATATTCGTACAACGTTAAAGCTGAGTACTGCAATTGAGCAACTGAGTGGGGATATTTGGTCATGATATCTACATATAATCCAGTGGTGTTATAAGCATAATCGTTGCAGTAAGCCAATTGCAATAATCTGTAGTACGCATTTACTACTCTGGCACCTCCGATACATCTTCTGCGAGATAAAAACGCGGAAAAAGATCTACCACTTTCAATTCCACGCAAACCCTTTCACAGATTAGTACGGGGCTGCAGCAGACTGGCACTGTATTACAAAATAAGCAATCAGTCCCAGGTGAGGTTGGTATAGTGCCGGTACTCACAGCCTTCAACTGCTCTAAATACCACGAGCAAGACGGCATGTCTGCCTTCTCGAGACACTTGGTGAAGTCCCTTGCCTGTACTTCACAGCTAACACCTTGGCTCTGGTAACTCTGCTGTTGCACAGGCGGTGCCTGCTCAACAGGAGCGGGTGCAGAGGACGATGAACCAAAGAGCATCGATGAGAGCCCATGGCCGATGGTGGATCCTATTGCAACAGAGCCAGCTGTGGCAGCCATCTGAGCCATCATGCCAGGTCCCGAGGACTGTGCGGGTGCTTGGGTATGTGCAGGTGCGGGTGCATGTGCAGGGTTGGAGTGTGATTGGGCACCAGCTGGGAGTGCGGCGGTATGGGCACCTCTTGACTGAGCTGGGGCAGCAGGACGAGCAGCGGGGGCAGCACGGGAACGAGATTGGCGCTGCAAGTGATGACTTGAGTAACTGAGCAATATAAAGATTGAAAGATAGACTTACAGGCATGATTCAGTAGGTTGCGTTCGTAATTAGTGAGTAGTGAGTTCGTAGAGAAACGTTGAAACTGGAGAGAACTCAGGCTTGAATTCACACGAAAAGCTGATTTTTTCATCGGCCAACGGGCAGAGACCCTTATATATCGCCTTTCCCCGTGAACGCGTAATATTCTCGGCGCAGACCGGCCAGTCAACACGTAGGCTAGGTTCCGGAGCATTCTCACGCCTTCCCGACTAGCGGGAATAACCATTTCGAGAAATTTATTAACGCAGGACATTCGAGAGTCGTGCTCGCTGTGTCTGACGACGACCAAGACGGCGGCGAAGCGAAAACGGAAGGCACACAGCGCGATTAGAGCGATATTATCTGCGGGAGAATGATAGTTGGTCGTGCCCAGCTTCCTTTTACAGCGAGGTCGCGATGTTTTGACCTTGCTACACCTCTGCTGTCTGGGACAAGCAGGACCATCACTAGTGCCAGGATACACAGGTACTATTGTACTCCAGTTCATCGTTCCAGTTCTCGCCATAGCCCATACATCATCACATCTTCACCCGGTTTTTCTCGCGCATATGCACAGAAAACCAAGTCATCACCTTCAACCACTCGCCATACAGCTCCTCGCCCTCCAGCGCCGTCATCGACGCTAAAGACATCCACAACGTCTAAACCTTCTGCTACCGCGAGTGCAACCTCTTCAGCAACCTCTTCTACGCCCATAAATACCGCGACACCGAATCCAAGTCCTCCTTCAGCCAAGGCCAAGAGTCCATCGCTAGTGCGGAGTCTACTGGGTAAGAAGTCCGGCGATGGTGCCTCCAAAACTGGGCTCAAGGCAAAGTCGACCGATGCCCAGATAGCAGAACTGGAGAACATGATGAAAATGCCTCGCCATTTTCCTACCACTGACATGTGGGGTCAAAAAATGCTTACCCTTGGTAAGTACCGCAACCTGCATCTTTTTTACTAGTATCACCAGGACTGATGAAATCTCCGCAGATGTCCAAGTACCCCGTGACTTGCGTGCAGTCATCAGCTTGAGACCTATCTCTGTTTCTACCATCTTTGATGCTATCAAGGACAATACAGGCAATTGGATGAAGAATGTTTTTAGGTGCTTCAGTCCCTACTTTTCCGCTATCCTGCCAGTACTTATCTCATTATTCCACGCCCTTTTCCTTCTATCCACATCTTTTCTCTCCCATGTTCTCTAGTATGTTCACCATCGCAAAGGCGAACGCGTTTCCGGACATAACTGTTAAATCACCTTGGTCGAGGCAGCTCTTCAAAGTTGGTAGTTATATGAAAGATGCTTGGGTCTCGCCCTTGATTAGAACAGCTAGCATCGCATACGTGGGCATGAACAATGCCGTCGCTGAGTACGCCCCTCGTAGCTTGTCTATCGTGTAACGTTAATTAATCACTATTTGAAACAGAAAAAGCATACAGGGGATCAAAAATACCACCTCTGACAACATGCAAGCCAAGCTTCTGAAGCTTGTGCGCAGCCGTGATCCAGGACTCATCTATCACTGGCGATGTATCAGCGAAGCCAGTCCTACACGCATTGTCTCTATCCGCGCTGCAGAGGGGTATCTTGCCCAAGAGCCACCTAAACAAGGGAACAGACTTGTCATTCACGCGCTTGTCAGGTTCGATTCATTCCAGGTAAATGTTTACAGCCTTCCGTTTTGCGTCTTGGCTGACACCACCTGTTCTCGCCAGACACTACAAGTATTTACGAAGAAGGGCGTACCGGTTGATGGAAAGGAACCCATGAGGCGGCACGTCACCGAGTATATGGTATTCGAGAAGCGGGGATGGTATGACACACCATGGACCGTGAGGGAACAGCTATACGAAAAGGTGGAAAAGGTTTAGGACGTGGTACGTGGAAGGTATTTTAGTTGGTGATTGTTTAAGGGGTTGTGCCAGTGCTTTAATCTTAATAGATCTAATTTCATCCGATAGAATGGAGGAAAGGATATATGATCAGGTTCTACGTACTTGAGATTATGTATTTCACCTAACGTTTTATCTCTTCCCACTGACTTAGGGTTTTAAATTTGGTGACATCGTCAGATCGAGTATCGCGCTGATTTGTTAGGGTAAAAAGAGGATGCGGAATAATCATCGATACATCATTGTCGGGTATAAAGACCTCCACCAGTTTACACAACATACATCAATTCTTCCAATTTCTGCAACAATTTGCATCTTCACAGTGACTAACATAGGTTCAGAGCAATAGTAACTGTAGCCCTGGTAAGACTGGTATCGCTCGCCGCTGTAACTTTCTGATAAGAAACCTTCGAGGCTGGGCTTGCCTCAGTGCAACGACTGCACTCCCATTGGCTGGTCTCTGTGAAACAGTGATGGACGAGCCAATGTAAAAGGAGTACATACAGCAGGAGAATTCACAGTTGAGGATGGGCGTTATGAAGTGTAATGCAATTTCGTGGTCCGCGGCGTTCAGAGGACGACCATATTTTTCGTCTCCGATTGCAGCCCGTGACGGCAGATCCTTTCTGCTTTCTTTTAGAGCCCATTCTCATATCCTCTTTTGAAAGTTCTTCGTTCCACCAACAAGCGGTGCTAAGCTAAGTTTGCTCACAACGACTTCGGTGTAAGGAGGCAATTAGTAGGACCGCAGCCAACCACCCGTACACCGCGGCCCTTAAGCTCAAGTCCATACACCACATTGAAGCATATCAACGCGTCAGAACCCGAAGCTACCGTTCCAAGCAATGCCGCCCAAATCGCGTCCAAGGGTATCTGTAGACGCTGGATCCAAACAAACAACCTCACGGCCATCGGGTAAAGCGAAGCTGATGACAGTGAAACTTGACACTGAACCACCAGCAAAGAAAATGAGACCCCTGTCGGTACGTGGTTCGTCCAACTCCATTATTTGTCTTCCTTGTGCATTTATCTTTTTATAATATATGATGCTTTACTGCCAGTTTCTTCTTGTCTGAGATATTGGACGATGACTAAAAATATTCCCATTTACTAGTTCGCGAAACCACCCACATTTGATTTACCGCCCTCTTATTCTCAAGCCAGTTCCTCGCAATTACCCTCTCAGGCCAGCTCACAACGAAGAGAAGTGAAAGGAAAGGGCAAAGCTGTAGATCAAGACTGTGACGAAGAGTTCAACGGTTGGTGGATGTTTAATTATCATAAGTACGTTTTCTGATGCTGATGCTGATGTTGTATGTCCATTATGTAGATGATAGATTGTGGGTCGACATGTACGAGCCCACCACTGAGGTACGCTTCTCGTTATATTCACAAGGATACACTCCATAGTTATGTAGGCTGATCTAGCTGTACACAAACGTAAAGTCGAGGATGTACGACGATGGTTCATCGAGGCTTTTGAAGGAGGTCCTTCAGGCAAGCTTAAAAAGTACAGAGTATGTCATCTGGATTACCACACGGAAACCGTTAACATTAGAGCTATTTTGTAGAGAATTCTGGCGTTGACGGGACCTGCAGGTACAGCCAAAACGACAACTGTACGTGTCCTTTCTCGCGAACTGGGTTTTGAAATCCTGGAATGGAGAAACAGTATGAGTGATAAATTCACAAGGAACGAGTTTGACGATATGGGTCGGTTACATTCCTGTCTCATTATTGCATAAGCTAACAATTACACTTTCAGACGATGAGTACGGAGAAAGAAGATCTCCCGTAGATAACCAAACGTTATTTGACAAGTTCCAAGCATTCCTAGAACGAGCATCTGCCTGCCACAATATCTTCTCTTCACAGATGATTAAAAACCAAGAACCCCAATCATCCCAAACTGGTACTCCGGCTTGCTCTGGGAGTTCGCAATCTCAGAGTCAGAGCAAGAAGAGTTCTGGTCCGCGCCACATTATCCTCCTTGAAGATCTTCCAAACATACTTCATCTACCCACTCAAGCTCGTTTTCGAGCTGCTTTGCAGTCACTTGTTGATAACCCCCCACGCGACGCAGCCCCCATCGTGATTATTGTCAGTGATGCAGGTATGCGTGGTGAGGCACAAGATGAACGCGCAGCGAACGGTTTTGGATGGGCAAAGGAAGTGGTGGACGTGAGGACTGTCCTTGGGCCAGCGTTGATCGCCTCATCCTATGTCACGCAGATTAGGTGAGACTGCTTTTTTATTTATGCCTTGACGCTTATTCTCCTAGTTTCAACCCGGTTGCATCCACGCTCATGAAGAAAGCTATACAGTCTCTTATTACTATACACTTCTCATCTTCATCGGGACACAGCGTGCAATCTCTGCCTCGCGAAGTCCTAGATATCATAGTAGAGTCCTCCAATGGTGACATTCGTAGTGCTATAATGGCACTTCAATTCGCCTGTACAAGTGCGAGTAAGGCTGGGAAAGGGAAGAAAAGGGTTCAAAACGATGGCAGGAGTAATGTCAACGCGAGACTCGTTTTAGAGGCTGTTACACGTAGAGAGCAAAGTCTCGTGCTTTTTCACTTGATGGGGAAGGTACTGTATAACAAAAGTAAGTGCTGTTACTTTCACATTCACCATACTGTAAGGAGCTGACGATTTGTTTTTCAGGAAAAGGTGACCCACCCAATGCAAATTCAGCCGCAAAAGACTTGAAGAGGGATAAAGCGATTGATGCACTCCTGCGAGAGCCTCCAGAACTGCCTCCTTACTTGCAGGAACATGAACGGCGGGCCAGCCGTGTTGACATCGATGTGAGTATCTTCACGTCTTACTTGTGTACTAGGCAGCTTAACAGCATGCGTATCCTTTATTATTGACGGATTGTAACGTAAACTCAAAGGTACTCTATGCAGATTCCCCGATTGACTCATCTCTCCTTGGATTATATATCCACCAGAACTATACGCAGTTTTGCAACGACATAGACGAGTCTGCTGCCGTTGCAGAATGGCTTAGTTGGGCGGATTGGGGAGGAGGTGATGATGTGAGTGTTCCTTTATTTTCCCAAGTCCTATCCATAATTGTCTACTTGTTTTCCTGTGTCTACAGCCAGTCCTCACGAACCCACATATATTTCATCTCCTTACTCTGGGTACGCTACATTCACTTCCCTCTCCTGTCGCACGCCGTGGACAACTGGTATGCAAACCAGAGTTCTTCGACGTGCGAAAAAGGGAGGTAGAGGCTGCAGATGCAGTGAGGGATGTACAGTTGTGGGTGACCAGTAAGGATGCTGGTTTAACGGACACCACAAATGGTAATCTCGATTTTGGAAGTCGAGATGATGTCCCTTCGACGAGTCGCTGGAGTCAAAAGACGATAGCGACTGAACTGGGCGGATGGCTGAAAGCCATGGATCGCCAGCGAGGGAAAGGCGTTGCCAGTCGAGGTGGGTTTTTTCTTTTATCAGACTTCCCAGCTCTCATCGATAGTTTTTATTGTATGCGCGTTAGGTGTTATAGGACCTCCACCCTCTCATCATCTATTCTCGCATCTCCCCTTTAATTCGAAGGTGTCATCTGCGCTCGCATTGAGGGATGGCGAGGATGAGTTCGGGTCTTTACCAGACGAAGACGAAGGGTGGGCAGCGAATGACAATTCAGTGAAAGATGTGGAGGATATAGTCAGTGGTGGATGGCTGGAGAGTGATGACATAGAGGAAGTTGAGTGATTTGGCTGTCTGCTTAAGGCACAATGTTTGATATAGAGTGATGCTGGCTGGCCTGAGGTAGTAGGGTTCTAAATTTTATCTCTACTTATCGCGATATCTGATCCCATGTTTTAGTGGGAGAAGTTTTTGTCAGAGCGAAAAAAAAAAAAAAAAAGAAAAAACTTCGAATGTCCACGGTAACCTTGAAGGTCTATATCGTTCGTTTCACCTGTTCTAAGACATTCAATCGACTTATAAGGCCTTTCGACGCCCATTCAAGTTGCCCATGTTCGAAAATTTTGTTCGAGTGTGAGACTATCACGCGTCTGTCACACTTGCTCCTTCCTTGCAACTTTGCATAGAATGTTCTACAGCCCATTTCGGCAGTTCTGGCGAATGCAGTAGGCAGTGTCTGGATCTGAAAATGATGTCCGCTATGACTTCTACAGGTACTCGCGCATCGCTTTCCTATGACTTTCCAACAAGAGGACATAGGTGTCATGGGACCATATCGATACAAGTGTACCTTCCGTTCTACGAATAACACAGTTACTGATGGAGCAATGTCACAGCGTGTCGTAGAGAGGAACAACATCGAGCTATGATGCACAGGTATTTACTTGTCTTAACGAAAACGTCATTGCTTGATAGTTGGTCTCCTCAGTCGATCGTTATCCCCACCAGCAATTACTGCTTTCCATTCGATGTTGTCAAGGACCGTAATAGTCGATTTTAGTATACGCTTTAAATGGTCCCTCTTTCTACAGGAAAACGGTGACCACAGCATCGTGCTGCCATTACAATAAATCGGTCAGCAACTTACAACTGGGCCGATCAACTCCTATCTATCATGCAGCTCACACTCTCGAGTGATGACGTTCGTGATACAACCATAACAAACTCACAAGGTCAAGTCATTCATAAAACAAATACTCCTTGGAGTTTGCCTCCGCGCACTACCACCACATGGACAATCAGGCCCAATTCCTCCCTGCTTAACATGCGTGATGACTTGGAAATCGTAGCAGAAATCGATTGGCACACTTGATAGCCGTCTAAACTTCGCTTCAATGGCAACGAAGTTTGGACGGAATATTATATCCCAGCTAGTGGGTTTATCGGGCGGTGTGTGCGCCTTCCAACAGAAGGTGACGTGTATTAGACAAGGAAACAGCAAATACACATTTATAGGCCCAGATGGACGGAAGTACAAACGGACTTCTGTAAGCAGTGACTCGCTGTTCATCTTTCCAGCTTTTTCACTTACGCAAAGACGACAGCTCGAACGGGGAGACGGCTCAAATATTCCTGTAGCTTGTTTCCACAACGGGAGTTTGGGCATATTCGGTGAACATATCTTAGACACGGTTGTTTTGACTTTTGTATATGTGGAAAAGCTGCGAAAGGATCAGGAAAGGGTGCACCTGCTTGAATTTAAATCCTACTGTTCGATTGGCGGTGTCATGCATGGCTCCGACATTATACGCGGACCACACTCCAACACTTTCGGTCAGGGGAACACTATTTACTATAGCCATGCCTGGTAGGAGTACTTGAGTCTATTTGCGCTGATGTCTCCTTGTGGCGCCCTAGAGTGCTGACTCATTCTAAGCAAGTCACATCCTCACTTTAAGGTGCGTTCTTTCGGGTAATAATGTCTCCTTTCCTTTCTGCGGGGCGTCGTCACCGTGGCGCGACTGCGCTGGGCGATATGTTTACTTATGTACCTGACGAACCAAGGCGAAATCTCACACCGTCTGTAACCCATCAATTGTAGTACCCCGAACTCATTGATATAAAAATCTGTGATATCAAGGTTTGTATGTCGAAAACTCTACCACATACATATCGCTGCATGTGGTGATTGCATACTAGTGACATCGACTAGAACAACTAACTTGAATTTACTCAGGGTACCGACATGTCGTGGAAAACACCAGGTGTGGTATTGCTTACTCGCTGGTTTTTTTCCTTCGTCATTCCTGCTGTTGGTATCTTCATTGCCGTCTCGCGTATCTTTTCATTCTACGACCTCTTTCTGCCGCTATGGGCGGTTTCTGCTTTCTTGGTTGGTGGTACTCCGATCGCATTCGCGGTTAAGCTGGCTTGGGCTCAGCGCTCTCACCGTAGAAGAGCTATGAAATTGGGCGCACGAGCAATTCCGAGTCTCGAAGGGAAATGGATTGGGAATTTAGATGTGTTGGCAACCCTTATTAGAAGGAGTGAGCATGATTATAATGGTATGTTCGTATCCAAGCTGTATCAAGCTGTGGCTTGACCTTGCCGTGTTCGCGCTCAGGCCAGGTCATGTATGACTATATGGTCACATACGGACCAACCATCAACATGAACGTGCTATGGGAAGATATCATCATGACAACAGAGCCAAATCATATCAAGGCAAGTAGCATTCATAAACATCTGTGCATTGCTTTGACGGTCTGAATGCAGACAATCCTCGCTACTGATTTCAACAACTACTGGAAAGGTGTGAACTCTCTCCATTGGTTTGCCATCCTGTTAACGGTGATCGTTAATAGGGGACAAGTTCCGTGTAACTGCTCAATCCGTCTTGGGCACTGGCGTATTCAACTCTGATGGTGAGTCCAATAAGTTAAGTTGGATATTCGAGTAACTCACCATATATGACACCCACGACTCCCAAATAATGATTCTCAGGAGAAACATGGAAGTATGAAGCCTGCCCCGTAAGCAATGAACGCTGGCTTATGACATTTGCTCTTCAGGCTTCACCGTGCCATGACTCGTCCGTTCTTCAGTCACGATAGGATTAGCCATTTTGATATATTTGATCGGCATGCGGAAAAAACAATTTCCCTGATGAAAGAGCGATTTAATCTCGGCCACGCCATTGATTTTCAGGTGTGTATTTACTTATTTCATCGTAAGCTGTCTTGTGATAATAGTGTTCACCGCGGAATAAGGACTTGATTTCGCGCTTTACTCTGGATTCGGCAACCGAATTCTTGTTCGGACACTGCGTTGACACACTTTCCGGTGGACTACCGTTTCCTTATAATGTTGACAAAACAGAACTTCCCGACAACAGCCACTCGGAGCGGTTCGCGCGCGCATTTTTAGCCGCTCAACATGGCATTAACAAGCGTAATACGATCGGCCAGACATGGCCTCTGCTGGAATTATTTGGAGACAGAACGGCGGGGCCTATGCAGATCGTCAATGAATTTTTGGAACCCATCTTGAAGGAAGCTATTCAAAAGCACCAGTCGTCTTTTGATGCCGACAAAGACGCGTTTCAGGACGAAGAGACGCTCCTGGAACACCTTCTGCGTCACACCACAGGTAAAGAAGACATTTTTTGTTGACATGGACGTTGAACATTCTTAATACCCCGTTGTAGACACTGTTTTATTGAGAGATGAAGTGCTCAATATCCTTCTTGCTGGTCGAGACACGGTATGTCAATGTCACGTCAAGTTCTCCTAATATCAATAGTAATTATTCTTCGCTTAGACTGCTTCGACCTTGACTTCTGCCATTTATTTGCTTGCCTTGCACCCGCATGCCCTTGCCCGTCTTCGGGAGGAGATATTAGCGAAAATTGGACCCAGCCGAAGGCCCACCTATGATGATATCAGAGATATGAAGTATCTTCGTGCAGTCCTGAATGGTAAAGCGTCTCATGCAAGTGTTTAGCTGAAGCTTACCTTTATTATCTTCAGAAACATTGAGGCTTTTTCCTGCAGTGTAAGTGATATTATATAATGAAAGATACATATCTCACATCACAAATCAAACTTTCAGTCCCACCAATGTGCGGTCAGTGAACTTGTCGTGGACTGCTTGTTTTTGCCTTACTAAATTTTTGTCTAATGCACATAGTGAAAGTATCAATGACACTACATGGTCTTCACCGAACCCTGAGGAAAAGCCATTATTCATTCCCGCCAAGACTACGTCCGTGTACATTTTTCCTTGTACACCTGGATTTCTTTTTAACAATCATTCAGCGTTGCTTATTCTATCCTGCTCATGCATCGCAGGCCTGATTTGTGGGGCCCAGACGGTGAGTGAGGAGACCTACATTTTATCGGCCAGAAATTAAACTTTTGTAATAGCCAATGAATTTGACCCTGATCGGTTCCTCGACGACAGGCTGAAGAAGTATTTGATACCCAACCCTTTTATTTTCCTGCCATTCAACGCAGGACCACGGATTTGTCTTGGCCAGCAAGTCAGTTCTTGTGCAACCCTTTTTTATTATCATATATTGATTGCGCGATATCCACCTACAGTTCGCGTACAACGAAATGTCTTTCATGCTTATTCGTTTGCTGCAAAACTTCTCGTCGATCGCACTTGATCTTGACGCTCAGTCTCCTGAATGTCGCCCGCCCGCGGAATGGGCTACAGCTGGTGGTCGAAAGGGCGTAGAGAAGTTCCGGCCCAAAGCCAATTTAACTTTATACTCTGTGGTAAGTATCGCTCGTTTCTTTTGCCTGGCACTGTAGACTTGTAAGGCTGATGTTCATCGTTTGGTAGGGAGGAATGTGGGTCAAGATGGAGGAAGCGGAAAGTGCTAAAAGTTACTAGTGATCTACTCCACTGGGAACGTTGGATTGATTGTTAGAGCTAAGTGTATCGCGGTAGTGTGTTTGTGTGTAGCAAATAGAAATTCAAGTTGTAGTGAGAGGATATAACCTACCTTTCGTAGTCCGTCTTTGCAAAATTCACGGTTTAAGCTTAGTGGCGCAACTTCGAGTTGAAGCGTTCCACTCAGTGGCACTGGCAGTTGGCGAGATGTGACTTCATACTATATGTTTGTCTTCGGACACCTACTGTGAAATACAGCCTGTGGTTTATCTGTATTTTAACCCCCAACGGTCACCCTTACTATTAGCTACGACCACACCGCGACCATACCAGGCTACAGTCTCAAGTGAATCCTCCAAGGCCATGTCTGTACTCAAATCCAAGTCTTCACTCTTCACTGGGAAGTCCCTAGTCACTACTGTCTCTCCAAGTCGCCGAAGCCTACATTCTACCTATGAAATGCCACGGTCACGGTCCTCCTGGTGTCGGGAGGCAAAGTCCCAAAGCCCAGTAAAGTTACCCTGTATTCCACGGTCATTCCATGGACCTTCCAAAAGGTCGGTTTCATCTGATTCAAACGCATATTCAAATCCACCTTCTCAAGTGCTCCGTGTCTCTTCTGTCTTTACAATACTACTCGGAGTCGGTATAGGTGCCACTGCATACGGCTTGTGAGTGTTCTGCATGAGTTTACACCTTGGTCAGATTTTCGTTTCTCGCATCTGAACTTTTGGAACCATCGCTGCAAGAGAAATCACCCTTCACGTTTGCATCAGTCGACGCACACTAACACGTTCTGGTCTCAGGTATGATTTCTATACTTCGTTCACACTTTGGCCTCAGGAGCTTCGCGGGGACCTTCGCGCTGGAGTAAAAGCGAAGAATCAAGGCGATCTCGCCCTCAGTGAGCGTTATCTGAAACGGTGAGCTTTTTGAACGCTCCGTTATTACTTTCATATCTTGACCCTACTTCCCCATAGGGCGTTCGAAACAGCCCTCGCACTCCCTCCGTCTGCACTTGCACCACAAGCCTACCTTAAACTCTCCGGAATTGCAGTTCTTCTGGCAGAAGTACTAAACAATGACGGACTCGAACGACATGCGCGTGACGTGCTGGTGCAAGCTTGGGACGTTGTTGCAAATTATAAAACACAATCCTCTGAGGGGGCGCAGGACAAGGAAAAAGAAAACACTGGCTACCCGGTTGCCGAGGGATGGAAAGAGCTGGAGTTGAGTGGACAAGAACGGCTACGTAAGGTTGCGATTGCGCACAAAATTGGGGAGATGTGTAGCAGTGCGGGAAACAAAGAAGAGGAAATATGGTTAACTCGCAGCGTCGAAGAGGTTTTAAAAATCATGAAAACTGATGAAGACGTTACGAAACAGTCCAACAAAGATGTCTCGCCTCCTGTCTTCCTCGCAGACCTCGGGATACCTACTTGGATGACCAAGACTGATCTTGTTGCTCCGCTGGAAGCCCTTGGTTCATTTCATGCACGTCAAGAGGGAGACTTCAATGCACAGTATGTCTTCATCTCTGTTAAGAATGTGTGTCCACTGTTTTAATTCTGTTATATGCAGATGTGCAATGGTCCTATATATCCAATCTATATCTGTCCTTATGACCCCAAACGCATCGACAGAAGATATATGTCATGGTACGCAAGAGTATGTCTCAGGCATTATATGTCACGCTGAAGTTCGCTGTCACCCTCCTTAGCGGCGCAGACCATGAACAACGTTTCTGAGCTTATAATGCGCCAGCCACCGACACCTGAAGTTATACTCGAGGCAAAGGTCTGGGCAGAACGAGCTGTGAAAGAACTCACAGGTCCGGGTATAGACTTTGCAAGGCCCCGCAAAGATAGCTGGAGCTTATGGACAAAAGTCGACAGAGATTTGGAACATACGTGCAAGTACGCACTGGGCGTGGCGTTGTTCAACGTAGGAAGTTTGGGCGAGGTGAGTTCATCTAAACTTCACCAGTCGACTGTATACTGTATACGTATACCCGGTTGGCTGATCTGTACCTTTCTTGCTTAGATGTCTGAAGACTTGGAGCTTGCTCGTACGTCCTATGCGTCGAGCTTGGAGACATTCAACGAGATTGGATCGCGCGAGGGCATGATGGAAGTGCGAAAAGCGGTAAGAAGATTAGACAAGTTAGGTGAGAAAGCCAACAAGGAAAATGGCAAATCATCGTCGCCGAACCAATCACATCCCAGTAACCAATAGACAATCTCAAAAACATAGACGCCTAGTAGGTGCAATGATTTGGTCAATATATATATATAAGTCCCATCCCCAATCATGGGATATCGAATATTAGATACATTACGGGAAGAGTGACAACACGAAAAATTGACAGCGCGAAGATAAAACGTCTGAATAACCATAGTATGAAAAATCGTCTAGCGGCTATCCGTCCAATGAAGGGAAAACCGTAAAATATAAAGTCGTGAATTCGAGTCAAAATTCTTCCATCAAACTTTTCCCGCGTGTATCTCAAAAACAAGCCCCCGTTACATCCACAGCTCCTTCTGATCGCACACGTTATGACTCTCCATCATCGGAAGCTTCTTCTACACGAGCAGATCGACTTGCAGGGCGTGAAGTTTCCGGGGTTTCATCTACAACTTCCTCGATAAAGGCACCACCATTTGTCGCAAGCTTCTCCTCTGGAGTGGTCTTCACAGCTTCCTTTCCCTTTCGCTTCTTGCTCTTTTTCTGTGGAATATCCCACTCCCAGAATGGAATAAACGACTCGATCTACATACACATTATGAGTGGATGGATCATGATGCAACGACGTGGGCAAGCAAAATGGAAGGAAAACTGAAAACTTACCACACCCACGTCTGCAAACAGCTTGGGGAATATCCAAATTCCAGGGCTTGCGACGACAAGCGTGATCACATAAAACACGAGTCTGACGATGGCCAGTCCGAAGAACGCGCCGATGAGGCCCAGCATGCCGACACTGATGTACCACACGCCCAGACGCATCACAGGTGGCCATAATGGGAACATGACTCCAGCAAGCATGATGGCGACCATGAGGAGGCCACCCGCATAGGTTGTCCACTGCGGACCCTCGTAGAACCAAGCATAGTACGATTCAGCTACGAAGGCCTGCTGGGGAGTGACAGCGACAGGACGTGGTGAGGAAGAGGTTGCAGCTGCCCCACGGTCGATGCGTAGATAGAATGTATATGGAATTATGGACTGAAGAAGTGCTTGAGCTTCAGCGTCCGTGGTTACTTTTGGGACGTGTTTGAGTTTGGCGTACGCCGGCGAAAGGAGAGCCTTCGTTGCTGATTTGCCTGCAGACGATAATCCAAATTTGTGTCAAACAAAAGATAAAGAAATATAGATAACCTACAAACCTTTGAAGTAGTCGACACGTTTGCCATTGAGCGCGCCTACACGAATTTTCATGTCAGATTTACTACTCCGTAGGAATTGCACGACATTGCGTATTTCCTGCGGAGCTTTTGCCTGCAATTCTGTTGTTGACATCCTTTTGTGTGACCTGTAGGCTCGGAGACCGGTGTGCTGATGGATTTTTGGATAGCAGATGAGCGGATGTGGCAGCGGGCACAAAGGATGCTTTGAGTGTGGGCTATGCGTTGGCACAACTGGCGGAAAAATACGATGCTTACATCAGCCATAGGGTTTCGTTTCATCTTTGTACAAATTCATTTCAATCCTTTGACAAGGTCGCGAACACAACATAGTCTACTTGGCAAGCACGTTCAGCCCAACGGTAGTCATACCCCACTTAGCGGGAACACTAGAATGGCAAGGCAGAACATATTGATACATATATTTCAACGCAACTAAAATGAGGTGGGAGGTCGTGATGAATTCTATGGAGGTTGTAGTAGAGAATAGTAATGCCTGATATCTTTTTACGACTGCGCGGATTGTGGTTCCTCCGCTGCTAGTTTTGGAATTACGCCATGTCGTTCTAGTAGCTGCTCGAGTTCACCGGATTGGTGCACTGCGAAGGATGGAGATAAAAGGGTAGGCGTGAGTGATCGATACGGGAATAGTTTGATAGGCTGAAGACTTACTACTCATGAGAATATCACATCCACCGACGAATTCGCCGTTGACGTACAATTGGGGGATAGTGGGCCATTCCCTATGCACGCACACGACTGTCAGTCAACAAAACCAATTGACCAAGGCACAGAGATGTACTCACGAGAACTCCTTAATTCCACTCCTTAGCTCCGAATCTTCCAATACATCATACGTCTTCATTTTCTCGGGAGATACTTGGTGTAGGTCAAGTATCTGGACAACAGCGCGGGAGAAACCACATTGCGGAATTTGGGGGTTGCCTTTCATGAAAAGGACGACTGGTGAAGCGGTAACTGCAGACTGAATCTGAGAGCGGGCTTGCTCAGACAGGAGCCGCCTGAAGAGCAGAGAGGGCGACCCCTGTGAGAAGGCAGGTCGGAGAGCAGGCAACTAAGAGAGTGTCAGTGCGAGAAAAGTATGTAAAGCATAGAAAACATACAGATGAACGTATAGCAGCACGCAGCATAGTGTATAGTGAAACAAAAAGAAGTATAGGATGAGTAGCTTTGCAAGATGTGGTCGACACTCAAGCAAAGGCTCGGGCAACGTTCGGGCTTTGCTTCCGTGGAGTCTGACAAAGTGCTGACTAACGCGCCGTCGGCAACCTTTTCTTGTCCGGCCGAGTGCATCGTGTCACATTTGATTATCTTATCTTATCTGTCAGTCCTTGTGCATACTTATGCAGTTTCTCCCGTTCTGTGATCAAAGCCTGATAACATGAGCAAAAACCAGCCAAAGTTCGAGCTATCCAGCGGGCTTCCACTTCAACTTTCTGACGAACCTCTACAAGGTTGGTATAGGACTTCTTTTTGATGTTATGGGACAGATATTCTGTAGGGACAGTGATCATCAATGAAGCATGGAGTGTCGAATAATTGTATGATGGTTGAATATGGGAGTCTAAAAGCGGCAGTCGTTGCCTAAAAGAGTCGAGTGTCTGTGACACTGCGACTCGATACACTCGTCCTAAGACGAAAGTCTCCAGACGCTTTGGGAGCCTCTCAGCGCGGCTTGTCCCGCCTTCCCAAAACGTCTGGTTCCAGACTAACGCGCGAACTTACAGTCCATGGATCACACGTTTCCCACTGCAACAGTTGGGGGCTTGAGGCTGCTGCCATGACAATGATACAGTAGCTATGGTGACCAAGGACGAATGTGTAGATATCGCTCAGACGGGCGGCCGGAATTACCCCTATGCTTCCTGAAAGGTAAATGAAGGGATCGGTATCTTCGGGCCACCAGCCAATAGAAAGAGAAACCGTGGTCCGTGTACACTTGGGAGTGATCATTTGTCACTTGGGCCTCGAGGTAAGTGCCTTTTATCCAGATAGCAGACAGTATCACTGCCTGCGAGATGCCAGCCATTAAGATGCGTGTCGCGACATAGCCCTCATTGAAGCCTGACCGCATCTTTGATCGTCAAGCCACCAGAGGTAGAATCTGACACAATATCGTCGCACTCGCACGGACGATCGAGAAGAGTCGATTTAGCGCACTAAATGGGGTTTCGATCAAAGTTGCCACCGAACGTTGGGAAACCTTTTGGTGACCTACAAGATATCATAGGACCATGATGGGGAACAGAAGCCTGATACAGCAGCTTAAACACGTACCACGGCATGCATGCCTGCAAGCATTGAGCAAAAAAAAAACCCATAGCTGGTATAGTCCTGAAAATTAAACTAGATATATTTTGATGTATGACGTCCGACTTATCCGTCAAGGTCTCATTGCCATCGGGAACCGCAGATCAAAAATGATGTTAAGCCCTATCATTCGATGCAAGATGACAGCCTCATGACAGATGAGGAACATAAACACAGGTATAGGGAGGGATATATCAATTTGTAGACCCAGTGGGCTGAAAGAAAACGTGGCTGTTGTGATGTGGATCAGCTGTAACCACAGACGGGAGAAGGAGAGCTTGTTTGACCGTCGGGTTGGCCAATGGGGATCCTCTGCCTGGTGGCTAAATGTGTGCATGATGAAGTGTGAGCTGTGTACGATAGATATTATCAGGTTGTATGTCTGAGGATGCAGATCACAGTGGGAAAAGACTGATCCGTCAGTAAGCAATAACCTCAGTAATTGCCATGGCAAAGCACGACGGTCATTTCACTCACAATCGGACCAATTCTCTCTCGCATCAGAATCACATTTTCTTTTATAGCAATAAATATGGCATTTTCGTAAGGAATCGGTGCAAAACATCCGCTATTGTCTATTTTGAGCAGGTGCATTGCCCTAAATTGCACGTCCTTGTTTCGAGTATAACAAAAGCAGTCTTGCAGTACTTATTTCCCGCCTCACTTGCATCTCCCTTTCTCTCTTTTCCTTTATCTGCATCGTCTTCATTCACCTTTGTCCCCAATGCCTGAGCACGCACAGCAAGCAACGGCCCCTTCAAAGTCAAAGCATAGCCATGCTTCATCTCAAGCACAACCTGCTCCTCGCAAAGTCAGGTTCAACGTTGGTCAGTACTTCCATCCCTCATAACAACATGAATAAACCCGTTTACCATGCCCTCTTATTGTCTTATAGGTACACAATACCAAGTTCTGGATGTCGTGGGTGAGGGAGCCTATGGAATCGTCTGCTCGGCGGTGCACCGACCGAGTGGCCGAAAAGTCGCTATCAAGAAGATCGCACCCTTCGATCATTCAATGTTTTGCTTGCGTACACTGAGAGAGCTCAAATTACTTAAATTCTTGAGTGAGGCTGGTGTCAGCGAGAACGTGAGTTCTTAACATCATCAATTTCGCATAAAATAGTATGTATTAACTTGAATATTTTAAGATTATCTCGATTTTGGATATCATTAAGCCACCTTCCATCGAGGCTTTCAAAGAAGTATATTGTATGTTAAGAACTTTATTCTCGTGGTTGCCTATTCACGTGTTTTTTGTAGTGATCCAAGAACTCATGGAAACTGACATGCACCGAGTTATTCGGACACAAGATCTCTCTGACGACCACGCCCAGTATTTTATTTACCAAACTTTGCGCGCACTCAAGGCTCTTCATTCTGCCGACGTAATTCACCGTGATCTCAAACCTTCAAATCTCCTCCTTAACGCCAACTGTGACCTCAAAGTTTGCGATTTTGGTCTTGCTCGGTCCGTGAAGACTGCTGAGCCGTCTGGCACAGAGACAGGGTTTATGACAGAATACGTAGCAACGCGATGGTATCGCGCCCCAGAAATTATGTTGACATTCAAGCAATACACAAAGGCAATTGATGTCTGGTCTGTTGGGTGTATTCTTGCGGAAATGCTCTCCGGAAAACCTCTCTTCCCTGGACGCGACTACCATCACCAGTTGACCCTTATCCTGGACGTTCTTGGAACACCGACGTTAGACGAATTCTACGCCATCACTACCCGAAGATCGCGAGATTACATTCGCGCATTACCATTCCGCAAACGCAGGCCTTTCGCACAGCTTTTCCCTAATGCGAATCCGCTAGCAGTGGATTTCCTGACCAAAACTCTGGTGCGTGCTGTGCCGTTCGAATGTTTGAACATACCGTGCTAATTGGCTCTACGTTCTTTGCAGACATTTGATCCCAAAAAACGGATATCGGTAGAGGATGCGCTGGCACACCCGTATCTGGAGGCTTACGTACGTAATCATTGGTGTTTTTAGGCGCTGTGACTGATATTTCATCGTTCATCAGCATGATCCTGATGATGAACCTGTAGCACCACCTCTTGATCCTGAATTCTTTGAATTTGACCGTGAGTCATTCATTGTTTTGTATTCCGCAGCAGCAGCACCTGACCGATGTGCTCCTTCATAGTGCACAAGGATGACATCAGTCGCGAGCAACTGAAGGAACTCCTTTACGAAGAAATCATGTCTTTCTGCCCAGCACCCATCACGTAAAGGAGTGTGATGTGTTGTACTTTACAGGAAATTTCTTCGTGCTTCCCACACAACAAAAACCAACTATTTAAGCGTGAAGGCCGCGTGTTTTCTGTCGTAACTGGTTCTCATACAGCGTAACCAATTCAGTCGCTCTTTTCCTTCGGACTTGTATCTTGTTTCATTTCAGCAAATTCATCATTTCTCCTGTTACCTACCTTTCCTTTTCATCGGGCATTCGCGCTGAATATGTTCTGTTTTCTTTTGTCGATGTATGCTATCTGTGGTTGCGAACCTTTCTCATGCTCTTACCTTCAGCCCTTCAGGACCTAAGTAACTGCCTGGATTGTGTACTTCTAAGGTTTATAGATCCTAGCTCTCGAATCAGAACGATATTTCATACCACTTCGAATTTCAAAATGGAATTTTAACTTTCAATTAAGCTTGGGACGATAATCTGTTTAAGCAATAGCATGAATCATAGTAAGTCTACCATGAGCATAGGCATACTACAGTACTGACAAGAGATGCGGGACATGCATGGAAAATTGAGGACATACGGTGCCGGCGAAGGTCGTTCGAAAAATTAAGAAAATTCAACAAGATAATTGCTAAGGAAAGACAACGCACAAAGCAAGTGACAACGCAACCAACAACAAAATCAGAGAAAGAAGATGTAATTTTTACGTTAATTTTAGTCGTGACTCCTCACGCAAACACGTCTCAAGCACATCCACTGCTGTGAGTAGGCTAAAACTAGATAGCATACACACACGGGAGAAGGGGGACAGTAACATGCTCAAGACGACGCCCCAAAAGACCAGTCCATCCATCATATTATCAATCTATTTTCCAGGAGGAGGACCGCCGCGGCCACGTCCACCGGGACCACCACGACCTCTGAAAGCTCCTCGCGCCTCTCCGTTCACCGGTGCACCGCCACGCGTGCGAGGTGGAGGTCGCTCGCTGCGTTCCTTGCGGGTTTCGACAACAATACGAACCTGACCTGCTTCACCGCCCACATCGATCCGCACACCACCTTCACCGCCGTGGTTCTGAGGCAATGAAGCGACAATGGCTTTCTTAGCAGCATCGACGTTATGGAATTCGAGGAAGGCGCATGCTTTGCTGCGCACGATCTCAAGTTCCTTAACTGGGCCGAAGCGCTGAGTAAGGACTCGTTCCAGCTGCGGTTGAGAAACAACTTCCGTAACACTCTAGTTAATTTCAAATTTGAGTACGACGACGACGACAACAAACGTGTTACAAACATACCTTCACGAAGCATTGAGGTGTGGTCACGCTCTGGGCAGCAGCAACGGCAGGATGATCCCTGGTTCCATGATGTGCAGGGCCCCGAGTGGGTCCCTGGACTGCGGGCGTCTGAGTTCCACTAGGTGGCGCGGGGCTACTCGACGCAGCTAAAACCTCAGTCGTCCCTCTTGATTCCTGAGCAACTTGGGTACCCCACTTCTTGTGATTGCTGGCCGCAAGAGAAGCCCAGGATTTGGGTGCAGGTGGCACAGCAGGAGTAGGAGCAGCTGGTGGCTGTTGCGGCTGAGGAGGAGGGGGTGCGGGGGAAGCGACAGGAGGAGGTGCGGCAGGCTGGGGTGCAGGAACGGGTGCGGGTGGAGCGGGCTCGGGAAGCGAAGGAGCAGCAGAAGGAGCCGGCGACTCCTCTACTGGGGTCTCAGGTAGTAGCTCAGGTTCGGTTGCATGCACGCCATTCACCTGCGGGGCAAGAGGCTCAGGAGCAGCCACGGGAGAAGGAGGCTCAGAGATCACAGTAGTGGGTGCCTCTTCCGCGGTGACAGGAGCAGGGGTGGGGGCAGGGGTTGGCTCACGAGGAACCTGAACTGGTTCGGGAGCGGATTCCGGAACAGACACTGAGGGAATGGGCTCAGGAATACTCGCGGTGACCTCCGGCTCACTGACGTCGTCCTCGACGGTTTCTTCCTTGAGGAAGCGGAAGATATCGTTGAGAACGAAATAACCATTGGGTTGCTCTGCAAGGAAGAAAGTCTGAACAAATTTCCGCCAAGATTCACCACGGTTGGACATCTCGCCGATGACCTGGATGATAATACCTCCATTTGCCGAAGACTGCGCGTCAACGGAGTGAATGAAGACTTTGCAATCCTGGAAGTCAATCGAAGTGATCTTGTTGTGAATTTCCTAAAGTAAAAATAGGTGCTATTAGGGCTACAAGGAAAACCTGTCAAGGGCGCGTGTACCTGTTGACCGAAACATGGCTTGACGTCCTCGCCCTCAGTCCCGTGAATGAAGGTAGAGGTTTTTGTGTAGAAGCAATGCAAGCGATTAGGTTGCTTGTTGACAAAAGTGTAGTACTGAGGGACGAACTGCCACCCGACCTCAGAAGGAACAACATTCTGGTGGATGGGAGAAGGAGAAGTGCTGGTGTTGGTCATGATGGATGAATGATGCTAGGGTTGCGGTTATTCATAACAACATTAATACTTGTCCGCTGCTGCAGTGCAGGTATAGACAGATTACTTACAGAGAAAATGGAGGCTGAGGAGTAAATGGACGTGAGCGATGGGAGTCTAAAAGAGTACAACGAACAGAGGCCAAAAAAGCTGGCAGGCTGCGAAAAGAGAGAGTCGACGACGCTACAAAAGTTTCAATCTCGAATTTTGCACCGGAAACTGCCGAGCGCTGACTCAGCGCTGGTGGCGCGGAGTCGCACCACGTGGGCATGCCCGAGTCTTGGCGAGCCGAGCTGCAGCGATGAGCTGATGTCTTGCCATTGCTCATGGTTATCTCTCAATACCACTCAAGGAAGGCGTCTTTGCACAGGACAGCACCACCATTTAGCTAGTACCTATCGAGCCCAGCGCAATAGGGGCCGGCCAGCGGTATTCCTATCGGTTTTCAAGTTACCGTCACCGCCACCGCCAAGGTTGACATCACCATACCAAAATGGCTAAAATACCATGTTATCTTGTGACACTCCTTGGACCTCTTTTTTTATTATCCAGTGTTTTCACAGCCTTGGACTTGCCCTTAAATACATCTGTTAAGCTTCGTGCTTCGACCTGAACAGTCATGTCAAGGAATATCACTATTCTACTGCTCTTCTTATTTCTTTTCGCGTTCTGTCTCTCTGGAAATGGCGTGTATGCGTTCGGTGCAGGCAATATCCCTTCGTAAGTCTGTCTCGCGCTGGCGATCTTACAGATCGGTCCATACATTCCAAACAGGTTCGCATATATGGAGGGAAAAGCCTTTAGACATGGAGATATAGTACGTACAGGGATATTGGGATGATAATCGATTGCTCAAGGCAAAATCGTTCATCCTCCATAGGAAGACACCCTTGCTGAGTTGCTCAAGAAAGGGGCTGGGACTGGTTTTGCTTTGACTAGTTTTATCACGAAAGGGCCAAAATTTGGCGGATTAGACATCAAGCGAGTATACTTTGGGTATGTGATAGGCACGCTACTCCTTTGGTGATCAGATTCAGCAACCATTCCTACAGGAATTGGCTCCGTGATTACAGTCAGGTGAGAAATCAAATAAATTCATTCACTCCATTTGTCCTGACCGCTATCAAGGCCGTTGACATAGGGGCTCTCAAGAAGGTTCAGTTCCAGGTTCGTGTTGACAGTTTACCCATACTAGGAATCAGCCCTGAGAACAGTGACCAGACTATCATGAATTTATGCATGGTTCTAGGATTTATGGTACGGGTTTTGACTCAACATGTGAGCCTCCTCTAAGTTCTTATTATAGGCCCATGGTTATGCTACAAACGAATTCGAAGTTACTCCTGAGAGACTTGGAGTTTATCTTCCTGTAGGTTCTTCTATTCGTAATACCCCCCTGGCTCAATTTAATCGATCGTGATAGACGGAACATATAGACAATCCGAAAGGCTACGGTGAAGGTGAAGATCCCCGGAAATATCACCCTGGTCTGCGTGGACCCGTTGATGTATGTACCAGCATCACGTCTTGATTCCCCTACTAAAATTAGCTGCGTAATTTTAGCCTCGAGAATTGGAAATTGACCCTAGAACAGGAATGAAGAACTACATCGCGAATGGTTGGTGGCGTCCTCCCTCTGGATTTAATAGCATATATCGCATTTATTAGTCGCTAATCGGTATTATATGCACAGAACATGGCCATTGGGATACCTCGAAGGCTCTCGTCCGCCGTACCCTGGAGCGTTGCATCAATATCGGACGCCAATACCGTTCTTCGAACAACAAACAAGATCTGTACGAATCTTATCGTCTTCTCGGACAAGCTGTATGTTCGATTCATACTAAAATCACCTTTGTTCGGCCAATTTTAAATTATCGTGTGCCTTCTTTTCAGTTACATACCCTCGAAGATTTTCCTGCACACTCAAATTTCTGCGAGCTCGCGCTTGTGGCGTTGGGACATACGCGCGTGTTTGTGCAAGTCGGCGATAATGTCCGTGTACAGGCACCCGGAGGCAAATGGGTCCACCCGCTTGTCACTGGTAAGCTATTGAACCCTCGAGCCGTGCCTTTGGCAAGCTTTTCCTTCTTGGAGATCAAGTGCTTAAATTTTGAATTTCATCGTGCAGGTACATTTGGATCCAGCGACTTTATGCACAGTTTACTTGGAGGTATCGTCATATTTTTGAAATCATGAATGGGACTGACCTATTTACGGAGCAGAGGCTACTGATCACATCGTAAGTCTTTGGTACATTTATTATGCCTTCCTATTAGTGACTTTCATTTCTTGTAGAGCGAAGTGAGCAACTTGTTAATGATCTAGATAACCAGTCTTTTATCCGTTATATTTCACAGGCTTCAGTTTCTGACCTTAACAAAGAGCTTGATAAAGCACGTAGCAAATCCATGTCGTCGGGCCCAAACTCAGTCGACACGTTGCGTGACTTGTTATTCAAAATCCCAGGTGGCGGCGGTGGCCAAATGACGCGTGAGATGGAGGGGATCGAGCGTATTCGCGCGGGTCCTGCACAAGGGGGGAAACGGCCTGAGGATATGAGTCCTCAGGAGATTCACTCTGTACTATGGCAGGTACTTAGTTTTCGTGATTCAGGTACGCATATAGTTAGCCATATCTAGGCGCTGGGCCAGCCTTGACGTAGCCTTTGGATTTTGTGATTACAGTAATGAAGACAATCGAGAACACAATAGGTGCATTCCGTTCTGTGCATCATTTACGGCTGTCGCTAATGTCATCCTAGAGAAAATTCCTGGTCTCGGGTCCCTCCTGGAGAAAATCAATGAATCTATCTCAGGTAGGTTATCAACTTTTATTCCGGCACCGATCTTCTTTGAGACTGATCGTTCGCTTCTAGTCTTTGTTTTTACTACGCTGGAGGTGCATAGTTTGCATCCTCTGGTTTTTGCATTTATCGATTAACTTCAAATCAGCCTTTCTTAAAGCCACTCATGAAAACAGCCACCCAAGGTTTGCAGACCGTCTCAGGCGAGGTAATTAATACTCATGACCAGTATGAGGTGTGTTCCCTCCTCTTTTCTCCTTGACGATGAGCTATCTGTTAAACGCCCGTCCCACCTCATGTAGGTTTTCAACGATCCTCTAGCGGTAGGTCTTTGTTAATATCTTGCTGAAATATCTGACCTGTGTACGTTTCTATAGTCCGATCCTACGCATTCTTTCCTCAGCAAGGATCATTTCGTACGTTTTCATGAGCTCATGTTTGTGATTACTTGCTTAATTCTTCGGCCACCAGAACCTTATTCTTAATGAACCTGCTGGTCATCTTGCCAAGATCATATTGGTATGCGATGAACAGTAAATATAAATATCATATTGACACTAAATTTATTCACTTTCAGACATATACAGTCAATTGGGTCACTAAAGCCTGGGACGACTCCTCCGTGAATATCCGCGAAGTTACAGAGGATATCTTACAATGCCTGTACGAGTTTCTGGGCTTTCCCCATATTTTAGCGCGTCAATTGACTATCTGCACAGCTTTCATCCAGACTTCCACAGCTCAAATTCTAAAATCCAGCGTGAGATGATGCAGTACATGAGCAGTTGGGTTCAAGAACTTGGTGGAAGGCGCGAAGAGGTTCTTCAGCGTCTGACTAAAGAACGCGTACGAAGTCACGAAAATATCCGGCTTGCTGGTGACGGTGGAATCCCAGCAGCTCAGGGTTCGTTTGCTTTTAACCAAGGGTCTCAAATGCAACACACTCTCCAGGGCTACGCATCTCAGGTCCCCGGTGCTGCACTGTTAGGCAAAATCGGTGGTCCCCAAGGTCCGAGACGAGATGGTCCCTTGCCGCCAGGCCCACCACCACCTTCTGGGCCTCCACATGGTGGCCATCCCTCGCATGCTGGTGAGGCAGCTTCATATTATCAGTCTTCAGGGACCTATAACACGCCTGGTGGTGGAGTAACCTCGTATTCTTCGGCCTCTTCTTACTCTTCCTCTCCATATGCCCCTCCCTCTGGCCCGCCACAAATGAGCGCATATGCTCCTTCCAATTCTTCGCACGCATCCCGTTCTGTTGGGCATTCCTTCCCAGATGTTCCCAGTGTCCCTGGCCCTTATACATCACCTAGCCCTTATGCTTCTTCGTATGCGCCGTCATACCAGGCCCCTCCCCAACCAGGACCAGCTTTCCCGGACGCTGGTTTTGGATATGGCCCGACTCCTCCAGGTAGATACCCACCTCCCAGTGGTCCCCCTCCTGGAGGGCCTGCATTCCCTGACGCGAACGATTATTATGGTCAGCCGCCGCCTCCTTTCTCGGGGCCCGGTTACCCCCCAACTGGCGGGCCCTATAACCGTGGATGGTGAGCAAGCGTGGGGACTGGTGAGAAAAAGGAGAGGTTTAATTCAATTGCATGTGCAACGACGGAACATTGTTGTATGAGATGATGTGATTAAAGTGCAATTAAAGTATGATAAGGTCGACATGTGATCCACTGTAACTTTCCAAGTGATGGATGTAAGGAACTGTACATATGAAATATGATACTAGTACTGGCGCAATGGAGTCAAAGGAGTCCGTGAGAAGGACGTTGTAGAGCCAGACGGGTGAATACGGGGTAGCGAAAATACATGATAAGTAAAGTTGCAATAGTGGTACAGATGATGAGAGTCCAGGGGGGATTAGGTGTGCTATACAATGGGTATGGACTGTATGGTTTGCAAACGAACCTGGTGTACTATCAAGCGATAAAAGGGGAATATAGGCGTTAGAGTGTATACTCCTCACGCTCAAGGATGGTCATCAGACCAGGAACGCTTTTGGCTCTATCCAGGGCAACTGGTTTTTGTGGATCGGGTTTAAGTGAGCGCGAAGCTGAGGCATAATACCGTACCTGGATGAAGGAAGATGGTATTAGAGTACGTGGCGAGGACAAAAGAATAGATAGCGCACATGAACTCTGAAAGTCCCATTTCTTCTATTTTTTGGCCCACATATCGTACACGTCCAGCTAGAATAATAATAATCGGGATTAAGAGACAGAAACAAAAAGGATAGCCAAAGGCAACGCACTACTCGTCCACCAAGACATTGCCGCCCAAAAACTCAGCCTTCTCCAGCAATGTGGCGCGCGAGCCTCTGAGGAGTTTTGTAACATCGACGGCGCCAACACAGATGAAGAGGTCGCTTTGGACTATTGGGACTTTACGTTTGCACGTCGCTCCTTCCTCTGCGAGGGATGGATGAGATTGTGGATCGCCAGAGGTGGATTCGATGTGGTGAGACTTTGCTCGCTCCTTTGCGCGACGCATTTTGACGAAAACGTTTGCGACGGTGGAGACCGTCAAATGCATTGTTGTGGGAGAGGGAGGAGAAGAAGACATTGAGGGGATATGTATAGGGCTGGTGTATATGGGATGCGACATACTAGGCGCATCTGCAGAGCGGAGTTTGTATGGATGTAGCTTCGTCGAGGAAGCGGGTGAAAGGAGACACCGTTTGCAGCTAAAGTAGATTTTGGTGCGCAAGAGCCACCCGTGCTTCGGCTGTCTGCCTGGTCTCACTGCGGCACTTGGGCAACAACAAAGCCTTTTGTTTCATCTTTATTCTCTTAGATCGTGGCACATCAAGGCACTAGGCTACTCGTAGTATGTTGGGCGCCCTCGCAGCACCAGCCCCATCACACATCAAACCATCACCCTGTTGCGATCAAACCATGCTCCTCTTCGCACCATGCCTGACCCACCCAGGCAGTCCCACCGGTGTCAAATGGACACCGACAGACATAGATTAGTTTAAAGTTAACGCCATACTGGACGGACTGAAGTGCTAAGAACCAAACCCGTTCCACTCTTCTGGTTCGGCTTTCTCCTTTTTGTTCTGCTTCCCTTTCTTGGCAGTGAGCAAGTCATTCCCAGCCTCCGTTTTCTTCAGTCCCAGCATCATGTCGTGGTCTACACGAGGCAAGCTAATTTGAGCACCATGAATGAAAGGCACACTAGACCACAAACTTACACTCTCCAGCAATGATATCATCGACTATTGGCCGGCTCCCCGATGTGATATATCTCGTCGAGATACCCCGCGCAACCAATGGCTGCGATAGCATTTCTCGTAACTCCGCCTTGAGCGCAGCGGTCTTCGCATTCTTCATCTTCGTCTGCTGTTTGCTGGGCTTGCCCTCGTCGTCAGAACCGCTGGTATGTCTTCGTTGAGTGATCGTCATGAAAAAAAAGATAGAAGACGACTTACCTCATGAAGTCTGAGTCGAGTTCTATCTCCATTGCCTCGGCTGCCTCCTTCATCCACGTCCGTTCGTGATTCGCCTTCTTAATCTTATGTTGTGCCGTGTCTATTTGCCGGGCAAGTTGAACACGAGCCTTCAATTTGTCCAGCAGATTCAGTTCGACAGAAATTTCCGGGATATCGGCATCATCTGAAGGGGTTTGACAAATGAATATGAATTTGCTATTTGGTGAGTCTATTCAATTATGGAGACTACGAATAGACTCACCACGACCAAGGCTCAATAGCAAGGCCTTCACCACTCTTCTTTCGTCTGGCGCGCACATGAGTAAACTGAAGCCCTTCCTCATCGCTCGCGCAGTTCGTCCATTTCGATGAATGAATGTGTCGGCGGAGCGAGGAATCTGGTAATGTATAACGTGATCGACTGCAGGTATATCAAGTCCACGCGCCGCAATGTCGGTTGCGAGGAGAACCGAGTTCGGAGTCGATTTGAATCTGACACACCACGGGCAAGTAAGCTCCAGCTCGAGACTTGGCAGATCTGTGACTCACCGGTCAAGATTCTTTAAACGCTGTCTCTGCTCCAACTGAGAGTGTAGTGGGAAGACTTTGACATTTAGTAGATCCATAAGGGGCGTTAGCCTTCTTATACCGTCGATCGATGAGAGAAACACAAGGGAACGGCCAGGATAACGTAAGAGGAAGTAGTAAAGGTAGATATCCTGAGAGAAGTAGCCGGTAAGTGAGGCAACCGATGAAGTATATTCATTTCAAGTACCTTATCAGCAGATAAACATTCAATTTTACTCTCCTGTAGACCCGAAACTACACCGCCTTCTGGACTAATATCTATCACTTCCGGGTTCGCATCACGGAAGTCAAGTCGGAGTACCAGATCCTCTGTGTTATATGTCATTTATAAATATCATTTGAAGACACGAATACATATATAACCACTAACCGAGAGTCGAAGCAGGTTTTGATCTGCCTTTCTTGCCAATCCTTGGCCGATATCCCTTTTTGAGATCGCGCTGTAGATCTTTACTCAAGGTAGCAGAAAACACGAAGGTTTGCAATGCATCCTCTGTTTCTGCGTGAGCCTGGACCTCGGTGTCTTGGGTTTCGAACTCAGGTTCAATCACATCTTCCCTGTTTGGAGATGGTTTAGGCACAGATGAACTTAAGTAAATAATATGCACAAACCGAGATAGCCTTAGAGTAAGTCGTAAGATGTTGTCCAATTCTGCAAAGTGGCCGTTTTCTACCATTCGATCGGCTTCATCTAATATCAAGTACCTTAAGGAAGCGAGCTGTTTGGCCAGAGAATCATCCTGTGCGATGGAGGTTGTGTTGTGTTGCATCACATATTGACCGAATAATGACAATTACATACCTCCTCCAATATATCCCATAATCGACCTGGTGTAGCTATCAGAATATCGACACCTCGGTCGATTATACGTCGTTGCTTTTGCGCTGACATTCCTCCAACAATGGCAGCAATGCTAACGAGAGGAGGCTTGCTGAATGTTTTTGCTGTGCCAGAGACGACATTTTTACCTTTGGATTTATCCTTGAGCTGTTGGGTTTCACTCAGTTCGACGTCCAAAGTTTCCTCCTTGATAGGAGCCTCAATTGATCTGGCAAACATATTCAGATGATCTGATACTTGTAGGGCGAGTTCACGTGTGGGGGCCAGTACAAGCGCTTGCACCTGTCGCTTGACTTTGGAAGAAGGATGGCGCGAGCGCGAAAGAAGATGATGTAGGATGGGAAGACCATATGCAAGCGTTTTTCCAGACCCCTACAAGAGATGAGAACTTCGTTGGACAACATTGACTGGACGACCAACCGTCTCAGCTACTCCCACTATGTCTCGTCCCTCCATCGCCTTTGGTAGAGATTTTGATTGAATGGGTGTTGGAGTCGTAAATCCTTGATGATGCAGTATTTGCAGCAAGTGCGGGTGTAAGGAATAGGAATGCCAATTAGGCAAAAGAAGTTTGGCTTTGGAGGGGTGAGCAACCAAATGTGATTTGTGATATTGATTGCTTACAGTCAAATGATATGGACGACAGAGGCACATCAGTAGTCGATTCAATTCCTGCTTCTATGTCTTCTGGAGTATCTGGGGAATTTTCGATGTCGTCGTGCTTCCCTTTTTTGTCCGTTTTTTCAAGGATCTATGCGGAACGTAGATATGTTGGGAACCCGTTCATTGAAATAAGATGTAAAATCTCACATTGAATTTTAGAACTTTGCCTGCTTCAGTCTCTTCATATAACACCTCTACATCATCGACCTCCTCTAACTCCAGAATTCCATCGTCTCCATCATATCCGCTCATTGTAGGCCTTGCAACGGACTTCCATGGTAGACCACTGAGAGAGGAGGTTTGGGTTTTTAGCCTTTTTGTGGATGAGGAAGGCTTAGAACGGGCCTTGCGTTTTAAGCCGTTTTTTGTTGTACCGTCACCAACGGCCATGTTTCCAAGATATTCGGTGGATTTTGTTCAGAATGTGTCCTCCAGCCAAAAATTGTTGGGCGTGAGTGGTGTTATTTGGCAAGAGCTTTGGATTCAAACAAATACTGTCATGTGCCCGCATCTACGCGACGTTCAGTCACTACGACTACTTACGGGTAGTTAACTTGGACTCGTTGAGCTTCACTCTAGAGCTTTCCGGACATACTCGACTTACTGGGCTGGTATCAGAGTCATATCAACGTTTGTTTCTTGTAAGACTATTTCCAGCTACTTTGTTCTTTACAAAGCTCTCGATTCACGTACTGAAGTACTGAAAACACAGAGCTGTGGCATCTTAACAAATCTCATCTCATTCTTTTACCAAAATTATTACACCGTTTATGATGATTCCCCACGCTTCCAGGTCACTTCATACGAGCAAGCGCCGCCGCACTGTTCCCAGGTTGAATGGTTTTGCCGGACAAAGCAGCCTTGAACGTCGTTCACTACCCGATCTGCCGGTTGAAGTCTGGCGGGAGATTTTAGTCTCGGTTGTTTGTACATCTGAAGCTCTCTGTGTGGATCGAGGAGATCCATTTTCGGATATTGGAGATTGGGAAATGTCCACTTTGAGAAGGATAAGTAAAAGCCGGCACCGTGGTTCAGTGCTATGCTTAGTCTGCAAAGACTGGTATGGTATCGTACAACAGCTTGTCTGCGAACAAGTTGTTATTTGCAGCGAGCGTCACCTTTTGTCGGTCGTGGAACGCTTGGAGAAAACAGTCCATGGTTGTGTTCTAGGAACTTGCACGCGTCGAGTCGATCTAAGAATATTCTTTCGAGGCGGCACCACTACATCCTACATGGAAAACATGATACGTCTTTTACGAGTCACTCCCAACCTTATTACGTACGTCAACAATAACCAACATGATGTAGACGTCTTTCCCTCGGGGCATGCTGTGCAAGTCCCTTCCGAAATTATGGAGACTCTTGCTACCTACTGTGGTGCAACGCTACAACGTTTGGAATGGAACAGGGATGAATGTCCTTTGTGGTCGGATTTAGTTCATATTTGTGCCAGGACACCAAAGTTACGGACTCTTGCTTCTGCGACAGCTATTGTATCTACTCGCCATTGGACCCCAACAGACACTCCAGTGGCAACATTTCAGCATCTTCGAACTCTTGCCTTAGGGGGCCCCGCAGGTCACCCGCCAATTGAAAATAATTCTACCACGATGTCCTTGCAGTCCTGGGATGGACTACTTCCTCAGCTGGTAAGCCCAGCACATTCACTTCCATCTTTACAAAGGGTGGAAATATCTCCTTACTTTGGCACCGACTTCTTTGTTGCTCATGGACCAACAATCCGTACACTGTGCTTCACATCAACTAGTGCTTCTCTGCCATCCATACTTCCCGCATGTCCTCGGCTCAAAACTCTTGTTATCCCCCCAGGTGGTGCCATGTCTTTTCCTCCCGCACACGCTTCCCTGCGGAGCATCTGCATTTCCCCTCCTGCTGGCTATTCCGACTCGATTCCCCAGCGCATATTTTATTCGATTGTGATGCCTTATCTAATGGAAACGATAAGTCGAATTGAGCCCTTACATTTGCCAAAATTGTCGCGACTTAGAATACGGGATACAGGTGTGCTTTCAGGTGCGGCCCAATGTCGGCCATTGCAGTCTCTATGGTCTCAATGGAACGCCAGAGGGGTGCGTTTTGAAGACAAGCACGGTAATCCAATCAAAGCAAGCTCAGATGGTATGTATGATTTAGCGAAGAGTGGCACATCTGTATTCTGATGCAATATTATAGAGGAAGATCATGTGCTAGATATTATTCCAGGATAGTGAAACCGATTCATCGTTAGCATACACTACGCATTAAGAGGACTTTGACAATATTCACGTTGCAGTAAAGCTCGATATAAGATTATCTCAACAGATAGTTCCTTGTATTAAATACACCTCATGTACTTTTGTCTTATTATTTTTCTTAATCTTCATAGACAGAAACAATTTAGTCTTCGAATCTACATGCGTTATCTTATCTTTTTATCCACGTGGCGGGTGTAACGATGGAGGTGGCTGTGTGTCATCCGCGCTCGTGGCTGAAAAAATTCATGAAGGCCAACTACAAGGTGCGCATCGCAAGATAATCTTTTGAATTACAGCCTAAGCTCAATTTCACAGTTTTCGAACGTCTGCGGCACTGTTTACCGCCAAGGAAACGTTCTTTTCACCCCTGATGGAAATTCTCTTCTCAGTCCTGTGGGGAACCGCGTCTCCGTATTTGATCTTTTGAAGTGAGCTCTCCCTTCCTGCATTCCGTGTTTTTGGCATGTGTTGATATGACATGCGTCTATAGTAACAAGTCGTATACGTTACCAGTAGAAAACCGCAAAAATATAGCTGCGATAGCTCTGAGTCCTGATAGCAATGTGCTAATCACTGTAGATGAAGGTACGTTTTCACGCTTTTTTAATATATTTTCTGCTCGACTTAGGCTATGTACATCATCATCTCAGATGGTCGAGCTCTCCTTATCAACTTTCGGCGAGGTATTGTTCTGCACCACTTCAATTTTCAAAAGCCAGTGAAAGATATCCAGTTTTCACCGGATGGAAAGTAAGACCTTATCTCAATGAATTACCTCGTCGACTTTGTCGCTCATCTACGTTGAAGGTATATTGCAGTGACACACGATTCACACGTTCAAGTATGGCATACGCCAAACCATCTTGCGCGCGAGTTCGCCCCTTTTAACCTTCACCGCACGTACACGGGTCATCATGATGAAGTTCTCAGTATTCGCTGGTCTCCAGACTCCAAGTCAATATTTTTTATAAATTATTTGTGTGCTTCGTGTTCATTAGTCTTGTCAGATGTTTCCTCACCACCTCTCGTGACATGACTGCCCGGTTATTTACGTTGGACCCTCTTGAGGGTTTCCGACCGAAGACATTTGCTGGACACAGAGATACGGTCCTTGGTGCTTATTTCTCCGCAAATGGTCAAACTGTGCGTACAATGATACTTTACTGGTTTCATACCCTTTCTGACTTCGCGCTAGATATACACCGTTAGTCGTGATGGTGCCGTCTTCACCTGGAAAGCAAAAGTAATGGATCAGGACATGGATACTGATGACGAATCTCCTCCTGTGCCATCCACGTCTAATGGCAAGGTTCAGCGAGGTAGTACCAATGCAATTGCTACCACGCGATGGGGCGTACACGAACGCCACTATTTCAACCTAGCAAATACTAAAGTCGTGTGCACGACTTTTCATCCTACATCAAATCTCCTCGTTGTGGGCTTCTCTACGGGTGTCTTTGGCCTCTGGGAAATGCCTGCTTTCACCAATCTTCACACGTTGAGCATCTCCCAGGAAAAAATATCATCAGTGGCTGTCAATCCATCTGGAGAGTGGCTTGCGTTTGGCGCTCGCAAACTTGGACAGCTCCTAGTCTGGGAATGGCAATCTGAATCGTATATCCTCAAACAACAGGGTCATTACTTCGATATGAACACTTTGGCATATACACCAGATGGTCAGACGATCGCTACCGGTGGTGACGACGGAAAGGTGAAAGTGTGGTCTGTCCACACAGGCTTCTGTTTCGTGACATTCTCTGAGCACTCGGCCCCCATATCAGAAGTGGCCTTTGCTAAAAATGGACAAGTGCTTTTCTCGGCCTCACTTGATGGTACCGTCCGTGCCTTCGACCTCGTACGGTATAGGAATTTCCGTACATTTACCTCCCCAAAACCCGCCCAGTTCTCTTGCCTTGCAGTCGATCCATCAGGCGAAGTTGTTGCTGCAGGCTCCTCCGATTCATTTGAAGTCTTTCTCTGGTCCGTTCAAACTGGGACCCTTCTCGACATTCTTACAGGACACGAAGGTCCGGTGAGCGCACTCGCGTTTTCACCCGCAGGCGACAGTCAACTCGCGAGCGCATCCTGGGATCGTACTGTGCGTGTGTGGAGTGTCTTTGGGCGTTCTCGCGCAGTGGAGCCGTTCACGCTCAACTCAGACGCCCTTGCTCTCGCCTTTCGACCTGATGGAAAAGAATTTGCGGCATCCACACTTGATGGACAGGTGATGTTCTTCGACGTTAAGGAAGGGAAGCAGACAAATGTGATCGAGGGGCGCAAGGACGTTGCTGGTGGCCGCAAAGCCGACGACCGGATGGCAGCAGCGAATAGTTCGTCGGGAAAGGCGTTTACGAGTCTTGCCTATACCGCTGACGGAAGCTGCCTCTTGGCAGGCGGCAACAGCAAATACGTCGTGCTGTACGATGTACGGGGAGGTGAAGGTGTTATGATGAAGCGCTTCCAAATCTCTCAAAACCTGTCTTTGGATGGGACGGAGGAGTTCCTTGATAGCAGAAAAATAAACAGCGCCGGGATCAACACCGATCTGATTGATGACCGTGGGGATGCGAGCGACCTCGAGGATCGGATGGATACCACTTTACCCGGTGCAACGCGTGGGGCTGGTGACATGTCCGTTCGGAAGTATAGACAGGAGGCACGCACGAAGTGCGTTCGGTTCTCGCCTACAGGACGGGCATGGGCAGGCGCGAGTACTGAAGGATTAATCATTTACTCTCTGGACGATACGGTCACTTTCGACCCTTTCGATCTAACGATTGATTTGACGCCTCAAGCTGTGCTGAGCGTGCTGGGAGAGAAGGAGTTCTTGAAGGCATTGGTGCTCGCGTTTCGACTGAACGAACGTCCCCTCATCCAACGAGTATACGAAGCTGTTCCGCGAGGAGATGTACGGCTGCTTGCACGGCAGATGCCGGTGGTGTACGTTCCTCAGCTTCTCAGATTTGTTGCGGAGCATTTAGACCGTAGCCCACATCTGGAATTCGATTTACTATGGGTTCAGGCGCTCATGATGGCACATGGGCGATACTTGAAGGATCGGTCTGGGGAACACGCAGCCATTTTACGAACGGTTCAGAAGTCGTTGGGGAATGTAGAAGAATCAATCTCAAAACTGTATGCACCATATTTCTTTGGAGTCAATGGTGACAATTATTGACCATTGCACAGGTGCGACGAGAACTCATCCACGATGAATTTCCTACTTGATCAGATGAGACTCACGAAAAGAAAAGATGATGTTATGTTGGAGAGTTAATGCTGCAGATCGCCTACAATAAGGCGAACTTGAAACCATAACGCTTAAAACCATCTGCAGGTATTGCATCCTGATTACATACAAAAATCGCAATATACAAAAGTACTCGATCAATTATTTTCGTGTTGAGTTTTAGGTGATGTTACAATGGGGTAATTTGGATGGTGCAATAGTGTTTTGTTCTCGTTGACCTTTCTTCGCTTCGTAAAGCGCACAAGAAATCCCTTATCACCTCCTTGACGCATCCTTCCTTGATGATCGAGCTGAAACCATGATGAGCACCGTTCCTATACGTATATTTCGGGGGAGTGAGGACTCACCCTCAGGATTATGTCTTTGTTCAACATCACGATAACCCCAATAGTAAGAGAGGGTCGCGAGAGCCACAAGTGTTGTGCTACCGATGACCTGCGTAGTGGTAGGAACAGTGAGATGTGAATACCATTTATAACAATGCGATACTTACGACTTTGTTCCGGGGAGACTGGTTTGACCAGTAACGCCCCTGGAACGTATGTTCAGGGTGTTGTCGTACTATGCGAGACGGATGCATCTTTCGTGGGTGTATGTGGATCAGCGAAAAGCCGTTAGGATGCTTATATACCATCCATGGATCCAGTAGCCACAATCTTAGGGGCGTTTCGGATCGGCTTTGGGTGGAATGACGAGGATGATGTCACAAGTCATCCTTTCGTCATGTCATTGCTATGATGAAGTTCAACAAGACCAAAAGAAGAAAAAACATACACGGTAGAGTCGACCTCGAGAGTCTCCGTACGCTTCACTGTCGCCCTCGTACAGACCATGCTGGAACCACGGCCCAATATGAATGGACATTGCAACAGGGGCCCTATTGAATCCACCAGGATCGGGTGCAAGTACTCCGTGTAGGACTCTGCCATCTATTCCTAGTACACTAGTCCACTGCGTGATCTGGGATAGTCCTCCAGACACTGTATCAAAGTTGACTCACTTTCTCCTAAAGGAGTGCAAACTTTGAGCGTACCGTAAAGCCCCGCAATCCAACGTATAGCATTGAACGAATCACACTAACGCGTAAGGAGAGGTCTGGCGAACTTCATGACTGCCAGAAGCGAGGTAGCGGTGGACAGGACTGTGGGTGCAATATTTTGGCGTCAGAAATGCCTTTTTCGACCTTGCTAATTCTTATTAACTTTTTGCACGGCGAGATCGGACGTTGGCCAGTTTTTTTAACAGCATACCAATCAAGTTCAGGTCATTTTTTGACTTCCGTACACAGGCATACCCACCGATCGAGATCGATTTTGCAAGTAGAAGAAACATTTCTAAGTATATGAGCTAGACTGTACAGGAAGATAGAAAAAATTCATCGAGTCAAAGATAATGAGAGCACACTAAGTACCTTTCAGCGTCGGCAAAGCCCCACACCCGTATGGCATGAATAAGTAGCGTGCGGGCGCATCAAAGTTGATCAACGCAACAGAGAACCGAGGACCCATGGCATTGCCAACGTTCCAGATTGAAAGATGTAGATTAAACGCGGCAGTCAACCAACCTGTAGCGTTGAATCGTCTTTCGTGTTGCAATAGCGTACATGGTGCAGCCCCGTTTCCGGTTACTCTGATATAAGCCGATGAGATCTAGAAACCCCTCCAAGAGCGGTCTGGGCTGAATCGGAGATAGATAGGGCAACAGACCCCCACTAGGACAACATCAAGATGGAATGATTCGCGATGGCGTACACGTATGCATGAAACGGCTACATACTTACCTATCACTGCCTCCGCTCTCTTCGCTCACAGCTTGGACCCACCGGAAAGGCTCTGGTTGGGATTCAGAATGTTTGCTTCCTCCCTCGCTTTCTTTCGCCAGTACTTCGGAGTTTTCTCGTAGCTCGTGCAATAATCAGTGGATTTGGTATATGCGAGGCCACTACCGTCTCCTCGGTCACGCTGCGGGGTAGGCTGCTGCCAGCGGAGTGTTATTCGGACGCGCAAGGTAGTATTTGATGGTGATATGTCCCTTATTGTGCTCCTTAACAGGTGTAGAAAGCGGAGGGACGCGCGTCTCGACATCGCTCGCATGAATGGTAGGGAGTGATGCGTAAAGCAAGGGATGATTAGACTGATGCACACGATGCTGCCCTAGCATAAATAAAAGGTATGTTAACTCAAAATGTGAAACGCAAAAGGTGGCTATAACACACAGGTTGGAATGGCACTGTGTGTAGACTGGTCGAGTATTTCTTTGTTCTTCTGTCGCCTTTGCAGGTTGGCGAAGAAGAGCAGAATACTTGAGCCCACCAACAACGTGCCAAAAACGAGAGTCTGGTACAATGGGCTGCCTTCAGTGGGATCGTGATAATCTTGTCAATGAAAGAACCCACCCTTCCGCCCCTCGGTGGACCGAATAAACGCAAATCATGTTCAGCTAATGTTTCGGGTATCTGGGCCATGGTTTGTGTATTAACTGTGTTCTGGTTCCTGCTTTGGCAGGGAGTTCAGAAGTTTGTCGAGAAATGAGGACTCTTATACTAGACCGGGGTTGTAGTTTGCTAGAACTTAACGACGATGGCATAGGGTGTACAATGACGCTTCATATGCATGAGTTAGATCGTCCTTCAAGCCTTCTTGGAGCTCGTCAGATTAGTAAGAACTTGGCTGAATCGTGCAAGTGATCGATCACGATTCATTACCATTGATTCCAAAGGTCAATCATTACATTGACTATACTCTCGATCAAAGAGAGCGACATGTTGCCATCGGTCGATCTGGAAGGACCATGAGAAACGACATTATTCTCCATACACAACAGAGATGCCAGCGGCACACAAAAGCTGCAGAATCGCAGATAATATGTCATGCCATCCGGATTACGATATAAACATGTTTTTCAAGGAACCTCGTCCCAATGTTTACAATGGAAGATCCACTATTGCGTGATAGTCTTCATTGTCTTGTTGAAGACTGCCTTGGAGCAATGGGATAATGATGTTGACCGGGTCACTTGGAACAGACTGTCGATCACGTTGATGATGAAGGTATGGCTACCTGTCTTGTGCAGGATTTTTACTGATATGGCCTTGATCTATCAACGGAAACAATAAGAATAAATCCAAGAGCATATAGAGCCAATATACAGAATATATGCGCATAAATCAATAGCTAGAACCAGAGCAACAAAAAAAAGGATGGCAAAACAGTCGGTAGAAGGAATACTTACCGTCAGGTCTCCTCACTGAATCTCTGTCGTCTATTATATGTTGCTTCCTGCGTTCTAGTATAGTCTTCTTGACGTAGTAAAAGCTCAAGCCTGCGGTAAGAAGGAGACCACCCCAGCCGAATGCCTGTTCCAAATAACAGCACATGTAAAAGACAACGTAAGAAACATTATGATCAGCGATGCAAGTTAGCGTGGAAGGACTGTATGTACTTGCCAAGGATCGTGGTGACTTCATGGATGGTCGCTGCATCGTTGCGCCGCTTGTTCCGTGTGAGATTCAATATGGAGTCAATGACCACAAATTCTAATTTCAGCGATACTCCAGCCCGTCGGAAAGATGGATGATCTTGGTAGTGTAATGACCTGGATATTGAACAAAAGAGAGGAGTACGAAAGGTCAAAGCGCGACTGTGACATCGACATCCCGCCACTCCGACTCAGAAGACCGGACTCTCCCGCTACATCTGCATTCCTATCTCAGAATATTTTATATACCGGGTACGGAGGAAGGTTGTGCGAAGGTATGTCAGCTGGTAGCCCTGTACTTGCTACGCACCGCACTTACCACGCTCACAGGTTACATGTCTATGCAATTTCATTGCTGATAGTTTTATATTGTAAGAAACAAAGCTAGCTAGCTTCTTCTAAGGCTTTGTGAGTATCAGACCAACTTCAGTGTTTCGCGCCGTCAGCTCTGCGCGCGTAGCCTTTATCGCAACCGACCGTGGGTCAGCTAGTAGGCCGCTGTTCTTCGCCTGTTCGAAGGTACAAATGACCCTTTCAATGCTCATGATAAACACATTTGGGGCAATGACAGCTTCGAAATCTGTTCGAGTTTACATGAGTAGTCGCGTTGTTAGCAGATGCTTTGGAACATTCTTGCTTGTACTACCACCACGCCCCTAGGTGGGAAATCATGTAGCCTAAAGTTTTTGGCTGGCCTTTTTCCACACCATCAAGGTAAACCACGCCTTCACTATCTTGGAAATGCATCACTATCTTTTAGTAATAGTTATTCACAGAAACAGCTGCGCATACTGCGCCGCAACAATCGATGCCATGAATATATCTCGTGATTGTCATATCTATTGATATATCCTGTTTGCTTATTACGCCCAACTGGTATTATGGCGCCGCGAGCGCGGCTCTCAAGTAAGATTATGTCCTGGGGCCTAATCAAGGTTCCCCTCGATTATCACAGTAATCACTGCCATATAGTGATGTAGATTTATACCCTTCTAATACGCGTTAACAGCATGAAAGTCCACCATATATCACACTGCCACCTGACTGGCTACTCAGGATGGCCCAAGTGGCATCGACGACCCTTAGATCAAAGGTTAGGATCAAATTATTCCCATGCCGTGTATCTCTGGAGGTGCTTTCCCTGCCTGTGTCCCTTAAAGAGTACTAGTAAGTCTTTCTCCTCGACGAGTCCATTTAGCTATTGACACCATTGAAGCTTAGTGCGATGGGCTTCCCTCCAAATTAAGTTATGATAGACATCTACCCGAGGTAAGGATTGGGTATATACACACCTCATGACACTGACCTTTGGCTATCTGATAAGTTTTGCTCCTATCTTGAACGTTGAAGATTGGCAATTATGTCTTGGCTTCCCACTGGCGTTCTTGTTTTGTCTTGGTTTGATGCATTCTCGCTCCTTTTGCTTTAGATTCGCTGGTGATTGATTCCCGTACTCCCATAGGATGCGGGTCCCTGGTCGATTGTAACCAAGTAACAGTCGCACGTCCAATGGGATGGGTTATTGTAGCCTTCTTCGACACGATAAAATCTTGTTCGAGGTCTGCTGCCCACGTCAGTTGTGCACGCTTGTCATCAAGTCTGACCAGTTCCATTCACATTGCTGTATCGCCACATTGATGTTTGCACTTATAAAGAAGGCATGTGCCAGGTATGACATGACCACCCTTCTTTCACTCCGTCCTTACAGGAGCTGAAAGTCCCAGTGGAATGTCGAAATATATCTCATACATGTCGCATAGTGCAATGACTTCTGGCTTCGGTGCTTCTCTGACGTTACCCCTTTCCACCCCGAGTTGATCTTGTTTTCACTGCTTTCTTAGACAAAGGGACTATCGTTCGGCACTTACTCGGGATTGTTGTATTCTGCGGTTCTTCGGCCTTGATCACCAACAAACTTTGTCAAATCCACCTCTGATGACGAGCCCCGTCCGCGACAACTATCTACACCCCCAACTGGGTCAGGCTCCTCGTCCGCCACGCGCAAGAGTCGTGTTCTATGTGTAGCTTGCGTCATTATTCCCACATACAGCATCTCTTTGAAGGTGCCTACATTGAGCAAAGATCACCCCCTTTTCACATGGCTATCTGCGAGTGGTACCACTCATCTTCTCTGACACCCACGGGCGTGGGAAGGCTGTTTATGGATAGATTCCTCTGTATGCGCTTGGCTTCAACCGGCGGCTAGAGTACGCTTGGGCGGCTTCACAACTAATTAAACACTACTTTGACATTTCCAGGGCCTGTCTTACGATATGATGGGCTGTATTGATTGATTCACCGAAGAGATTTGTTGGGGGTGCAAGATCCTGTACCGAAAGTTAGAACAGGTGTTATTTCGCCCATGACTGAATTGATTCCGTCATACAGTGATCTTTGGCCAAATTAAATGGTGTTCCCTGAGGTGCTTGCGAGTGCGAAACCGGTTTGACGTGACCTTGTCGGTTCCAAGTGATTCCAGTGGTCTAGAATCTAATTATGTCGTGGTGTGAGACAGACACCGGGATCTAGGTCAGTCCATTGGCCGTCATATGGACAGAATATGGTTAACTGTGGTGTTGTTTTCTGAAATTGAGTCTCACGTTGATGATGGCATTTTCCGCATCTCATCATCAGGCCATCTAGATTGTGCTTGAACAATGTCAAGCATGGGGCTGAAGCTTGATATGGGATGTGAATTGAAAGCGTCAGTGGTGTTGTTATTTTGAGCAGTTCAGACACGGTGACATGCAGCATTAATCAATCACGATGATTTATGCAGCGAAAGGGTCAGCACAGTGTTATATATCACACTAAGAGCGATAACGCTAGCTCGAGCACCGCGGAATTGGAGTCTCGGACAGATGGCGTTGATGCGCCTGTAAGAGGAGATCTTGACCCACTTGAGGGCATGCTGTGCAGGGAGCGGGATTCAAGGGATGAGATTCAACCGGTGTAGACATTCAATTTCTAGTACGGTTTTGCAACAGGAGAAGTTAGGGAGAAGTATATAGGGAACAGAACGAATTGATGCGGTGCGGCCAGTTGCGGTACATCAAGTCTGAATCACAGACCAGAAGGCATGTCTTCCCATTGGGTCCGGTGGCTCCGGCATTTGTGACACGATACCGGTCGGCAAACGGTGGCACTGGAAACTCTCATAGTATCCGGATATGGAAATAGAGTGACATTGTTACCCCGGAAACCGTTATTTTGGTACAATATGTATATTATAGGGAAGACATGTTCGGTGGAATCACCATGGCGAGTCAGCTGGAAATGTCGTAGAAAATCTGTTATCATATGGTGGCAGATGGGCCCTAAAAGGACTTCGAAACAATACATAAGTAGGATGATGGTATTGCTGGGCAAGGTTGCAAGGATCGGACGAGGGGGATTTGATTGAGAACTGGGATCCTTAGCGTGCAAGGGGGGAGGAGACAACGTCGGAGAGTGGTGTTAGGATGGGAAGGAGCGGCTGCAGCCTTGTGTATCTGAGAGATGATGATTGTGTCCTTTGAATTGAGTGTGATTTGATGTGCAAAGCACCATTTGTGTGTTATCGCGGGGAAGCTAACCGATCAATGAGTTGGGTTTTCTTTGAATTCTGCCGAGAAAGGAAGCTGTTATGTCATTAGTGTAACAACCAAGAGTTATTTACTCCAGTGCACACAGGAACACACTATAAAGAAGATGATGGGGAGTGGTTACCCCTTAGGCTGCAGTGAGTTAGTTGTGCTAGACAACAGGAGGACTCGCTGAGGAGTCTCCTGGATCTATTGGGGTATATATACTAATACAGAGTGTTTGTACTTATGTACTGTACAGTTGTAAATAAAGTTAAAAGTCCGATGTCTAGCATGTGACCGGTCACATGATGAGTCTAGACACTGGTCAGGTGATGTGTCACATGACTGGTCATGTGACTTGGAAAATAAAAGTAGAAGTACAAAAGTGAAGCGTAAGTAGGTGCTGGTATGTTAATTGTAACAATTAGCCCATTTAGATGCAAATATAGATTGCATCCTCTGCATGCTGAATGGCTGTGATAATATAACGTGGTCTGTAACGCTCAAAGGATCCATCGTCACAAACGGTGATATCCACAAATGTCACGTTTCTTTCTTCCTCCATATCGGCTCAGCTTGCCGCCCAGCCCAATATAAATCTCGACTCACCTGTAAAAGCCTTATCCCCTATACCGAACTAACGGAGGGATGAAGACCTTAAATCAACAAGTAGCGTCACAAGTAATCAATTGAGAAGTAATCAACAACTAAGGAAAATATGTACATGGATGTTCACTATATATACGTTTCTGAAAGTCAGCCATGAGGCGCTGACTGATGTTCTTTGTAATAGTTCTAGGCTCTTTGTCACGTGATGGTCACGTGATCTGATATAACTAAGTATTATGTTATCCGCGCTAATAGCAGCAGCTTAACATATTATGTCTGTCATGTGATTAGATATTAAAGAAAATGAGAAAAGAAACTAGCGCTCTTGTTCAGGTCGTGACATTACCCCCTCCTTAGGACTTTCGTCTCGAAAGTAGGGGTCCATTTTTCCGTTTTCCCAATTGAACAATTATTTTCGGACTCTGGTCGTTGTGAAGTTTTCGAACGGTTGGAAATGTAATTGGAATCGTATCCGTCGGGGTGCACTAGGGTTGTTGTCGTGGAATGTTTTTACTTTGTCTGGTGAGTTGTTTAGGTGTTGTTCGGGTTCCCATGTGCGTTCCTCTTTTGGATAATTCTTCCAATGTACTAAATATTCCAATTTTCCTCTTTTTAGACGCGAGTCTAGAACTTCTTCGACTTCATATTCTTCTTGTCCGTCTACTATTACCGGCGGTATCGGTTTAGGTTTCTGTTGGGAAGGGAATTGTGGTTCTTTGTATGGCGTGAGTTTTATCTCGTTAAAGACCGGATGAATGGGTCGCCATGTCGGTGGTAATGCTAGTTTATAGGCCGATTCGCCTATCTTTTCCAGTATCTCGAACGGGCCGTGTCTCTTATCGTCCAGTTTCTTAGCTGGTCGATCCGTTGAGATATTTGTTGCTTCCACATACACCTTATCTCCTACTCTATATTCCACTGCTTCTCTTTTCTTCTTATCGTACTGCCTCTTCATCTGTTCAGCTGCCTTTTGCAGCGACTCTTCTGCTTTCTTCCTCGTTTCTGTCATTCTTTTTACGAAATTTTCCGCATTTTCGTTCTTTACCCCCACTTTCACTACTTCTTGTGTTCTCGGATGATGTCCATGATTCAAGTAGAACGGGCTATATCCCGTCGCAGAATGTTGTTTGTTATTGTAAGAGAATTCTGCTAGGGTAAGCCATTCTGCCCAATCATCTTGTTTATGGTTTACGAAGATTCTGAGATACTGCTCTATCTCTTGATTGATCCTTTCTGTTTGTCCATCCGTTTGTGGGTGCCAAGCCGTTGATGGGTTTGCTTTTATCTGAAGAAGCGTATGTAGATCTTTCATGAATTTTGAAACGAACTGCGGTCCTCGATCTGAGATGATCTTTTCGGGTATGCCGTGGTTTCTGAATACATGATCTCTAAATAATTGTGCCACTCCTTCCGATGTGATTTCCATCTGCGTGGGAATTACCTTGATCATTTTTTTTTAACCGATCTACTATTACCATTATCATGTTATATCCATTTGATTCTGGTAATGGTCCGATCAGATCTACCGATATGATCTGCCACGGTTTATCCGGGATCTCGTTTGGATGGAGCGGTGCTGCTTTCTTTTTATGGTCTGTCTTGGTTCTTTGGCAGACTTCGCATCCGTCTACGTATCTCGTGATATCTCTATCCATATAGGGCCACCAGTATTGTCGAGTGATCAGCTCTTTTGTCTTATATCTTCCTGGATGACCTGCAATGACTGAGTCGTGGTTTCGTCGGATGATTTCTTCTCTTAACGCGGCGTCTTTTGGTACATAGATTCTGCCTTTGAATACTATGCAACCGTCTTCGTCTAGCCATCCATCCTCTCTCCTCTCTATCTTTCCTTTCATCTTTTTTATCAGTTCATCCACATTTCCTTTTCTCTTTGTGATCCACTTTGAGATCTCTAGCTCTTTCTCTTGGCTGTCTGCGATCTTTTGTCTCTGTTCTGGAGAGAGGGTCATTCTTACAAATAGTTTCTCATCCAGTAGCACGATGTAAAACTTCTATCCCCTATACCGAGTTAACGGAGGGATAAAAGCTCAAATCAAACAAGTAGCGTTTCAAGTAGCGATTGAGAATTAATCAACAACTGAGGAAAGTATGTACATGATGGTCTACTATATATATGTTTCTGAAAGTCAGCCATGAGGCGCTGACTGATGTTCTTTGTAATAATTCTAGACTCATGTCACGTGGTGGTCACGTGATCTGATATAACTACGTATTATGTTATCCGCGCTAAAGCAGCAGCTTAACATATCTTATCTGTCATGTGATCAGATATAAAGGAAAAGGGGAAAAAAGAAACTAGCGCTTAGACTAGCGCTTCTGGTTCAAGTTGTGACATTACCCCCTCCTTAGGACTTTCGTCTCGAAAGTAGGGGTCCATCTTTCCGTTTTCCCAATTAAACAAT